GAAAGCGATCGACTTTCGATTCATATTTTAGTGAGCTTACGCAATGGGGTGGCAGATGAAAGACGAAGGCAAATGGTCTGAGACAAGCGTGATAATAATTATGATTGAAAAAAAAAATCCGCCAAACTTCACTTTCAATTGCGTCACACAGATCTTTTTGTAGAGGACTAGAACACAGTAATGTTAAGTGAAGATCGTAACAAAACACGCAAGTAATAGCCCTGTCACGTTTGTTTCACACACAAACGTTTTACCGTCCCTTTCTTTCTGCCGTCCTGTTACGTAAGCCCACTGATTATGTATTTCTTACCAACACCAATAAGAAACCATCTGGTTGCCCCGCATTCCGGAATAACAGGTTTTTGAAATGCGAACATGGCCATCCCAGAAAGCAGCGCGCTACACCAACCAAAGTAAAACACATTGGTGTAGAAACTGACTGAGCCTGCCACGCGGCGGACCATGATGAACGTCAGTGATTGGACCACGGCTCCTGACATCGCAATACCATAGCCAATCAAATGAACAGTCTCGGTCACATGACTTGGTTTTGCTAAAATCGTGGAAGAGGGATTTCGAAGAAATGGTTTCTTAGTTACTTATTGCAAAAAAAAAATAAATAAATAAAAAAAATAAAAAGTTCTTTATCCTGTTGCAATCTCCCCCAAAAAGGTTCTGATTACGGAAAAACAATTATAAATACTAGTGATTTCGAGACATTCAATGGAAATTTAGCTAGGAAAAGGAGTAAGTATTTTTCAGGCCGGCTTAAGATTACAGAAGAAAAAGTAAACTGCGACGTTGCATCGTTAGGAGAGTGAAACGCAAATTATAAAAATGTGTTTTTATCAGCTTAGTTACAAACTTGTTGTATTTTTGAATTCATCAGGAATTTAGCCCCTTGTAAAATAAAGTTTCCCTAATGCCAACATTTAAAAAAATTCAATAAAATCATGCTTCGTTTACAGTTTTAATGTAAACTACTAACTTAATTTACAAAACTTAGCCGGTCGTGATTTTTGTTTTTAAAGATCATTGATTCATTTTTCTGTGAATTCCTTACCTGAAGCTCCAAATATAAATGTAGGCCTGGTTATGAGTACCACTCCAACGATGCAAACAAAAGTCGCAACTGCATCAAAAATATGCCAAGATTCTTTCAAGAAAACATAGGCCAAAAATGCTGTAAAAATCGGTGTCGTAGAAATACAAACTGTGGCATCTCCTAAAGGAAGTTTGGTAAACGAACCGTAGATACAGGAAATAGAAGCAAAGTTCACCGCGCCAAAGCATATAAGGTAAGGTCTGTGTTCTTTCTTGCCGAGTAAATCAGCTTTTGCCCAAACAGCCGCCGGAAGGACTAGAAGCGTTTGAATTACCAAGCGAAAAAACACGATCTCAAACGCTGGAATAGTTGTGTTTGAAAGCTTGACAAACAGAGAAGCGATGGCGAAAAGAACACCAGATGCAGTTGTAAGGAATAGACCAAGGCTAGACTTGAAACATGGCGGACAGCGAACTCTTTTTCTGGCTGGAGTCGAATCAACGTCGGGCCACAGAGGTAATCTTTCTGCTATGCGATCTCTCCACGTCTCGCTGAGAATTTCTCTTGGGGATGTAAAATTTCGAAAGCTTTCGCTATCTTTGTCGAAAGAAAATTCGACGACATCTTCTCGGATGCTTTCTTGGTGAGTTTCGCTTTGTGTTGAGCCTATACTTTGATAGTTTTCCAGAGATTTTCGCCAGAAAGCAGTCGAAAATGGCGAGCACATCTCGCTTGCTTTCTCTCCTTTGTTGTTTGCCGATCGAACTTAAAGTGCGCAATTTTATTAAGCAGATGCCTAAGGAAGCCACAAAACGTAGACAACGTCACTGCCGTAATCAGCAAATACCAAGATAAAGAGGGTTGAATTCTGTGTTAGTTGTAAAAAAAATAATGGGTTTTTCAATGTATGTTTTATTCTTTAGGCAAGAAAACAGTTTACAAAGTTTCAACTAGGCTATTACAACGGCTGGCAAGTGTATACGTATAGACATGAATCAGAAATTAATATTTAGGTCAATACTTGGATCTCGGAGATGTCATCCATCGAGGCTGAAGGCCGAGGTGTTTAACATACTTCTCGAACTGCATAATTCTTCTTACCCTGCTACTTACTAGATTGATTGATTTAATAGCCTTATTCACTAATTGCTAATTACCACAGCAGTTGCCTCAAAAAAGATAAGGGGAGTACTGTTGACTTCCCCGGAATAGAAATTTCTTATCATCGTTATCATCTTCAGTAAATTTTTATAGTCTCTATTGGCCAAATTACTGTTTGCGTGCGATACAATTTGCGAAACTATGTGTTATGATTTTAAATTAAGTTATAATGACACCTCTTGCCATTTCTGCTGAAATCATCCAGGCCCAAAAATCGACAGGACACCCAAGGAACCACAGGAACACCGAGGATTATCCTGTTTCTCACCAGCGAACTTGCAGAACAGCGTTTCTTGAAGCGGTGAAATGCGCTCGCATTAGGGTAATCAAGGTAATATTTGAAAATTAGTGCTCATGACGTCACTTGAGTGAACTGATCTTTTTCCAAACGAAATGGCGTTGTGTGAACACAGTTGTTGACGCAGCGTCTAAGATGGAAAAGATAGGAGCGATCGTTGCTATTTTGCTTTGTTTTTTATACTGGATAATGCTTGCGAAGGTAAGCGAGCACGTATTTCAAAATTACTCTGTGATTGAAAGCTACTTTTGCAGAGGAAAACACATCACCTAATCACTCATTAATTACTTGTCTCTTACCGAAACAGAGTAACAACAAAAGATGCATTTTTGGTCCATTTGCTGTGCTCTACTTCCTTTGAAAAGCGCTTTCGTGTATCTGTGATAGATTGACTTCACTTTCTTCTCGCGCAAATCAATCGGCAGAGAGTTTTACGTTGTCCCGTAGAAGATGATAAAAGGTTTTCCCAGCGTTGTTGCTTAGAGTATAAACGCGCGCGCAAAAGACGGTAATATTTTGTTAAAATGTACTGACGAGTTTAACCACTAAGCGTTACTCTTTAAAACTTTGCTCCCTTTTTGGTGTTAAAGTTGTAAAGTATAATAATTATTAGCAATATTTCGGCTCTCGTTTAAAAAGAGGAAAAACAAGACTGTTTTTGCTTCAAATTTATGTCACGTTTCTTTAAACTTTCCCTAATAAGTTCCAAACCAGAGTGAGCGATCGTACGCCATGAAATTGTACATTATAGATTGAAGTCTTTGTCACCCTTTAAATGATATACGATTATTCACTAATTAAAATAGGATCAGAGATAATATTATAAGTAACCCTGCTCATCCCTCTTTCACCCTGTTGGGCGTTGCACTTGCTGGTTCCCCTATAATTTTAATGATACACACACCTAAACTGCTTTTTGTCGAGAAATTCAAATCGTCAATCCAGCCAAAAAATTGTAGTTAATTGTGGCGACATCCACTGTCCATTATTTCATCCACTACCTAACATTTTTTCTGTTCTTTTATTTCAGGTTTATCCTCCACTAATGTACTTCAATTTCTATTTCACTGCTAATTAAACAGCCACCTTTTGTTTGTTTCATGCAGTTGTGCCCCAGGAGTGTGGTTTCAATCATCAGCAAGTTTTCGTACGGAACCAGTTGAGACTGTCAGAAAACCCCTTCTTACAGTTTGGACCCGAGAAACTATTTGTGTAGTTCAATATTTATTTGGCTCATATATTGTGGATTGTTTCGTATTACAAAGAATTTAAAATGGAAGGGAGCAAAACAAAAAACCTGTGAGTCTCCTTATGAAAAAACTGAACAGCTATCCTTTAATTTCTTCAGTGTTGGAAGCACAGAGTTGTTTATCGTTCACTTGGTACTTTTTGAAACCTAGCAGCACCTGGGGTCGAGGGTGCGAAGTCTGGTGCAGGTTCGGCGCATCCTCGTTCCCAGAATCATCTCTCTTGCTTCGGAAAAGATTCCTGGTTACGGCTATCCACGTGGCATCCAAAATCTGGGAGCCAAAAATAAGGGAGGAGAAGAATAGTAAATAACTGCCGCTATGACTAAAGTTACCCTATCGGAGCCCGAGAGGAGTTTGCGGCCTTTTTTATCATTAGAGACCTTAAGATTGAGGTTTTTCGTCATTTCCCGCGAACCGCGAACGTCAAGAAGTCAGTCACGTGATCAGGACCTTGCCGTCGGGTTTGCGGTTTGAGGTTTACGTTTGTACGGCTAGACCACGCTCCAGCGGTAAGTGGTTTACCGCGAGGTTTTTTTAGCCTTCGTTGCAGCCGTCCCTCGCACTTGTCTAAACCATTTGAAGGTTTGGAGCGTCTGCTACGCAGGCAAGGTTTTTTGCACCCTATAAAACATCACAATCCCACGTTTTAGAAGAAATACAACTTTTTAGAACTCTTTCGCTTATTGATTATATTCTAATTCTATTTAAAAAAGCGTAATTTTGAAGACAATAACTCAGCTAGAATAGAAGTAAATGGATGAATGAAAACAAACGTGGCAGCCGCAAGCTACCACTCGCGAATCTTAAGTCCCAAATATGGGCAGACGGGTAACGTGAAACCGTTAACCGCAAACCGCAGTTTGTCGTTTGCAGTAAAATGACCCAACCTCGATCTTAAGGACTCTATTAGCTGATTGTACTGGTATTTGAAAATGTCGTGGATGAAAAAACAACATCGGAGAGCGAAGCAAGCCGATAGGAACTCTGGGGGGGCAACAGCTCAGGTCGAGCCCGTTTTTTGCCTTTTTCCCCCACTGCAGAACCTGGCCCTAGGGTATGCTGGTGCTTCATGTAAACCTGAATTTTGCCACGAGTATGCAAATTTTTGAAAAACTGAGTTTGCACGCGCAAATCGAGATGGATTATATCCGTATCCTGTTGGCAAGACGGCGAGCAAATCTTTTTTCAAATACAAACTCTCTAAAAAAAAGTGTTATCGTAATTAGCCGAAAAGCAACGCAGCTTGCACCCAACTCAGAAAAAATAGGTTTTTGATGGGTGCAAAAAAAACCCTATACCCACCCCCTCGTTGCATATGAAACCAAGACAGCCCAAGATGGCCGCCCGTACCGGTATGCGTTCTATCCTGATGATCTTACCAAACAATAGGGGACTGTGAATAGGGTAGATGAACTCTTACATACACATTTTAATTGCTAACTATAGACCCATCAATAAATATTTGTGGGATAAAGGACTACAACGGACAATCACGAGTTGTTTGTGATTTGATTCTTTATTGTCGAATTTGCAGTCACACCACAGGTAGCCCAAGCTCAAAATATGAGCATTGGCGAGCATCGGCATTGTTGCGTAACATTCAAAATATAAGGATTTGTATGTGGAAAAAACCTATCGTTTCTGTAGCCTAAGAAAATGAAAGGATTTCAATAATAAACAGCTTACTTTACGTAAAACGTGTGTTACGTCTCCCCTGCGTGGTCCATGGGCCGATTTATGGCGGTTTTATAGCAAGAAATCGGCTCGGAAACCACACAGGAAAGAAGAAACACACAACTTGAGCAAAGTTAGTCGATTTTTATTTAAGTCCTTTTACATTTGTAGGCTACAAAAACAATTGTTTTTTCTCCGATACAATTCCTTATATTTTGAACGGATCCTAAATTTTCTTGAATAAGAAAAAGAAAAAACGCACGATTCTTTAAAAGGATCATGAGTTTTCTTTTTTCTTGTTCTTTTTCTTCACATTCTTGTCTCAGTTCTTCCAATTCTCGTCCGTGCTTCCATACTACTAAGCTAGAGCTACCCGAATTTTCTAGCTGTAACGTGTATGCTTCCTTACTTAGAGGAGCCTGTGTCATGTCTCGGTGACACTCGAGGATTGCACGAGGGAAAAAGACTCTTCGCCGCTTTCTTGAGGGGAATGTTGCTTATTTCTCAGTAATATTGATAGTCAATTGGCATGATTGATGAATCTCATACTACAACAGAAATATTAAATAATGATTCTGAATCATCTAAATTGAATGTGGATTTATTCCATGCAGTGAACCAAGTATATTTCGCGCGAGAAGAACAAGTTGAAAGGAATAGGCTGTGTTCCTCTCGAATAAAAGTTTTTGAGTTGAAGAACAAAACTTTCGTTCGGGATAATCACCGTACCTGTTAACAAAAAACGAGGAGGTGGTGAACGGAACAAATTCCTTTATAACTACAGGGACCGCGCAGAGGGAGGTGCTGGGGGGGCTTTAGCCCCCCCACTTTTTTGCAAGAATAAAAATAAATTTAACAAAAAAAAATTTAACAAAAGTAACGGAGTGAAAAATAGCAAAAAATCGTTAATTCGAAAGTGACCAGAGTTACTGGCAAAGACAAACGCACATATAAATAGACAGAATGAAGCATTAGTCGTTACAGGCATACTGTATTTCGCGGACTGGACTGGACTGGACTGGACTAGTAAAACGCGGACTTGTAAAACGCGGACTCAAAATTTGTAAAACGCGGACTCAAAATTTGTAAAACGCGGACTCAAAATTTGTAAAACGCGGACTCAAAATTTGATTTGTAAAACGCGGACTAGAAATAAAAATAAATACATAAATAACTAAAATATTTGCTTTATTAAATGAATATATCTCTTCTTATATAAAACGTTCCGAATGAAACGTCAACAGGAACATAATCTGATGTCATAATCATACAGACAACAATTCAATTGCCGGATATTATACTATCCACTTTAAAACATTACTTCAAACAAATATTGTTCTTGTGGAGAAAGTCCAATCCGGAAACAACGTCCCGCGCACACAGTAACAAGACATCTGCGAACGACGTAAAGTCGAATTCCGCATCAACGAAATGTAAAAAATCTTCAAGCGAATTTACCTGTTTTTTAACTCCCAACGGATTGAAGTCAAAACAAGCATGCTCCATCATTATGGCGTAGGGTTCTCGGCAAAATCTTAAAAACTCAGTCACATTTCTATGGCCTTTCACGGTTTTTAGGATCGCCGCTTCCTTCTCGAATCGACGTCTTGCTTCAGCCGATTCACCTTTCATTTTTTTCACAATAACATTTCGACGGTGTTCTTTCTCGTATTTGACAAGGTAAACTGAACCAAACGTACCGCTTCCGAGCTCCTTCTCTACAGTTACCTCACTCCATTCGAACTCAGGAAACTGTGTTTTTGGTTTTGGCCTTTTAGCGAGCGATGGAAGCTTAAAACAAGCCGCCATCTTCGCGCCGCCACGTGAAAATATATTCCGAATTTTGGCGCGATTTTACTGCTCAAAGGTCAACAAAGGTCAACAGCCTCGTTTCCGTTGTCGATGTCACTTAATCCAGTGTCACGTAATGACAATAAAAATTCAAAATCTTATGCTTCAGGTGTGGAGGCTGGGAAAAAGGCTAAAATAAAATATAATATGAAGGAGTGAATGCTGCGTGCGTCAGGAGCCCATAAATAATAGGCTCTTGGTGCGTGTAATAATGCGTGACAAATTTTGGCCTTCCCTTAACTGGGGCTCCTTCGGTACCTTTTCGGGCCTGTAAAACTGTTTTGGGCTTGCTCAATTGCATTTAAGATATCGATGGTGTGTTAGTTTTGAAAGTAACACAACAAACTATAACCTAGTCCCGAAACAAAATAGACTGGTTTGCAAGCTACGACCCCCGAGCTACAACCCAGCGGGGGATGTGTACTGAAACGTTCATGACGGGGGTCTGACTTTATTTTTTTTATTTTATTTTTTTTAGGGGGGGGGGGATTAGAAATGTGGGGTTAGAAATGTGGACTCCCGGAATTTTTTTACAAATTTTGAGTCCGCGTTTTACAAATTTTTGAGTCCGCGTTTTACAAATTTTGAGTCCGCGTTTTACAAATTTTGAGTCCGCGTTTTACAAATTTTGAGTCCGCGTTTTACAAATTTTGAGTCCGCGTTTTACAAGTCCGCGTTTTACTAGTCCAGTCCAGTCCAGTCCAGTCCAGTCCACGAAATACAGTATGCCGTCGTTACAATTGTAAAATATTTTTTCGCTTCTAACCTAGCAGAGGTAAACGTCTTTTAAATGGCTTCTTTTTCCTGCGGACCTCTCAGGAAAACGCGTTGTTTCGTAATTGGTCAATTTCGATCCAAAGTAATAACTGGGTTTAGTTTATAAGGCGATTCTCAAACAAATTGTTTATTAGTTTCAACCTTGATTTTTGGAAGATCATGAAGTTATTGTTTCTCTTGTTATTGTGCGTCCTGATTTTAGCTCGATCAGCGCGAAGTCCGTCTTTTGATGTCAGGCTTCACGGCTCGTTGAGCATTCCAATTGCAAGTTTGAACTCGGCTTTCGTGTGATATGAAGATATACAGATCTCGGAGGGTCTTCGGCTTTGGCGGATAACCCCCTCGATCTGCATAACTCTTCATATCATACTCAGCCTCGTGCAATAATTGCTCAGTAATTATACAGCCTTGAGTTCAAGGCAGCTCAAGCAAAATCGTTGGATTTCTGGCTTATTTATAGTAATTAAAGGTTGATATCAGTAGTATAACATAACAATCTACGATATTTCAATTTAGTGATGGTGAATTTTCAGACCCGATAGCAACATCACTGAAGATGTGGAAAAAAACAATAGTTTTATCGTTATTCGCATTCTCCGTCACTTTAGAGAAACTGAATAGAAATCCACAAGCATGCCATCCCCCCCCCACCAAATTTTCCTTTACGCATTCTTCTTTAGCCCCCCCACTCGAAAACTTGCTGCGCGTTCCCTGAACTAGCCTGCGTGCAGACGATAACTAAACTCTGATTAGTACCGTCTGCGAAGCAGCGCAGAGATCCTTGTTCTGGACCCCCAACGGACTCAACGAATTACCGGAAGTACGTTTCGAATTCCCCTTTAAACCTGATTGGCGATCACGACAAACAAAACAAAGGCCTTTTTAAACTGGCCAATCGTGGCGCGTACTCAAATCTGGGTACACAGCTGGAAGTCCAGAACAAGGATTTCGGCGCTGTTTCGCAGACGGAGTTAACCAGAGTTTAATTTCGTCTGCGCGCAGGCTATTTATAACTTGAGAACGAAAAAATGGTGAACCTGAAAGAGCAACGCTTAAGGGCAAGAAATGGGTCAACAAAGTTGATGATCACCGATTCTATACTACTTTAGTGAGCTATTGAACGTTATATTGGAATTTCTTGTTTTTCTTTTTAAACGAGAAGGGGAAATTTATTGCTAATAATCATAACACTTAACAACCTAAGCGCACCAGATTTAAGGGAAGAAAGCGGAACCGAAGTTTTAAATATTACAGTCTTTTTCGAGTGATTATCCCCCAGTATCTCCCATTAAACAAACGCTGAGAAAAGCTTTTGTCGGCTTGTATGGGGTTTTCGTTGCGCGAGGCAATCTACCGCAAGTGGATAAACTGATTTCCTTTCAAAGGAAATACATAGAAAGTAGACAAGTATTGTCATCTCTTATAGTTTTGGAAAGTCGTTTATTAATGTGTTTTCTTTTTCAAAAATAATTGTAAAGTACAAAGAAAGGTTATAATGAACATTTCCTAACCTTATCACGTATAAGCATTAGCAAGTACGTAGAAATAGACAAACGAAATCTTCTTTCTTGTCCCATTTATGCGCTCTGCCAAAAACTACACAAGATTTAAAAACAATTTAATTAGCAAAACAAGGGCGCATTTTTTTTCCCGAAAAGAATTTAATTTACACACATGCATAGGATAAGCTCAGAAAATATACACATCATAAACACAAACATTCTGTGGTCACGAATAGAGAAGTAAGATTAGACGTAAAGTAAAACTTAAAGTACATCAGTGAAGGATAAACCTGAAATAAAAAGAGAAAAAAGATTTTAAGGTTTGGGTGTCAATAATGAGTTATGTATGCCTCATTGTTCAGCCGGGTTTATTCTTTTTAGCGGAAAGTTTTTTCAATCAAGTATAAATGAAATATAATTTGATGCAACATGATTGGTTAAATGGAGTCGTAATTCCTGGCTTGAAACATTCTGACAAAAGGAACCGACTCGGCATTCATCGTATGACCGTCACTGGTCCATATGACGCCCGGAGTAATCAATCGATAAAAATCGCTATCGATTTATCAGTCGATAAATCGATGAAAATAGGTAATCTGATTTGACTGATATCGATCGTATCGATCAATCGGTAGAAATCGATGACACACTCCTTTCGTTTATCGATTTATCTCGATTTTACCGATTCCATCGATTTTATCTGAAGATACATCTGTTCTTCTGTTCCGTCTCATCCAAAAATGAAAACTGATTTCATGCAAACAGTGAATTTGTTGACAATGGAATTGCAATTGAAAGTCGAAGGATCAGACAATTTATTATCACTTTATTAAAAAAAAAGTTCAAAAAAATCTTATATCTTCTTTAAAACCCGCTTTAAAGTCTCCTTCTGGTGGCCGATATTAGCCAGGTTTGTAGGCGCCCAGTTTTTTCACGATTTAGACCTGCCACCCTTTCAAAATAACATCAGTTCCACGTGTAGTTACTTGCCGAAATCGATAAAAATCGTTAGCGATCAAGTGATTTTATCGAGTAATAACGGAAAACAGTGAAAAGCTATCTAGGGAAATCTTTTAGCCTAAATTTCAGGCATCCCTTCGACTCTTGAGGATGTCTAAAATTCAGGCTAGGAAATCTTTTATCTAAGGTTGTATTTCTCATAGTACCGACTTGCCTGCGAGAACTGCGAATATAAATGTAATTGAACCGAACCGTTTCTGTTATTATGTACAAAAGGGTCACGACTTTAGAGAGAATCTTGTGTCTGTAATAGTTTCCACATTGCTTATTTTCATGTTTGTTGATCAGTTGTTACTCGTGGATGTGTTTTCTCCGTTGTATTTTTAAACTTTTGCTAAAAAGCAATGTCGGACTTTCCGTTATAAATCGTTAAAATCATGAAAGTATCGATTTGACACAGCAATTTAGTTTATCGATTTTCAACAATTTCCGTTATCAATCGATAAAAATCACTTGCTTGCTATCGATTTTTATCGATTGACTACTCCGGGTATAACGACAAAACCAATTTCCCCTAAAGTTTTTGAATTGTTAAATTTTGTGGCAATCAGCAATCATACAAACCTCTGAGATTTAAAAGATGGACGTCCTCCCATTTTGGTCCAATGCTTTTTGCAAAAATAACAGTCGCAATTTTCTTTTGGGTTGTTTTCGTGGTTCAATACTGACTGTCCACAAATTACGTTCCTGCCCAACTGTATATCTAATGAAAAAGTACTCGTTTGACGCTTGTTTTGGAGCATTAGTGCATCGATCTTCATGATCTAAAAGAGAGCACAGAGATTAACAAAAGTAAGGTTAAGTATGGGTGTTAAATCTTATCCCTGTAGCCTTGCAATCAACGTGGGACGTGTATAACAACCTTAGATTGAACTTCAGGTGCTACGGACTTATATTAGAGACATTAGAGACTGAAGTTAAAAATTCACAATCAGCTCTGATCGAGTTAAAGCTTCATCGATTAAAGCGAGCTAATCGAACCAACTGTAATTATGAATTTAAAACTTACAAAAATGCTAAACATTCGATTCATATATACCAGATAATAGTAAAGATACAAATGCCCTTGCAGTGTCCTGATAATGCCCCTGTGAAGCCTAAATTTAAGGAACTAATTCGCACTGTTTTCTATCATTTTAAAACTGCAACGCGTCTTCAAAACGACTGAATTCCAAAAATAATTTCCTAGTTATCTACATGTAAGACTATATTTAGGTATTCAAACTAGTTCCTATCGTTTGTTGCTACTGATTGCAAAGATTTCGGCATGGATTGCAACTGGAGAAAATTGGGTCAACTATTTTAAATTTTAATGCAATACCCGATCGAAAAACCCACACAAAAATTGTTATGGTTAGGGCTCCCTGACGAAATTTGTGTGATATATATCTTCTTGACAATTTCACAGGAGATTTTGTGTAAGGTTAAAGGCATTAAGTACTGACTCCAGTACAAAACTAATCACTAAAACAGCAATGTACCTGTGACCATTAAATACCGGATCAGGAGTGGCTTCTGCAGGTTTAACTTGAGCAATGAATACACTTTGATTTGTTTTTTTTACTACTTACCCTTCGCTTATAGTTTCCTTTAGCGTTCAGATCTCTTGTAATGGGGTCAGGGTTGACAGTCGAGGCTGCAATCTGGAGAACGTGTTCAAAGGAAGGATTTTTCAATTTCTTCACAATCTCCCCGATTACCTTGCATCTTTCATAAGCTCTTCTCAAAACCCATTTACGAATGGAGCTGGGAAAAAGGACAGCGCGTGCAAAAGCGACTTCCTGTGAGAGCGGGGTGTGTGATCGGAGGGTGCTTCCGGCGGGGAGAGAGAATGCCTTGCGGATGATACGACGTCGAGAAGCACATTTCTTATCTCTTGCTGTGTCCATGTTCTCGTTCATGATAATGCCCTGTGTAATAAATAATTTAATTTCAGTTTTAACAGAAAGCAGAAATTTCATGATTAAAAAGAAGCAAATAGGTCACTATTTTTCGTTTGTAACCAATGTGTATCTTCTGTTTGCTAAACTGTGATGCTTAATCCTTTATATGAAATAAATTATGAACGAAAATAGCGAAACTGGAAAATGACTATAAATAGTTAAAATAACCTCTCAAGGCTGACGTCTTTTTTTCTTATAATAAAGAACACCAGTAGTAAAAATCTAGGCTGTCATAACTTTATTTTACAGTATTAGTTTCACCTTTGCTAGAAGAATACTTTCAAAGAGAGACGCTCTCGTTTCTTTCGTCTGTTCTCTAATAACTCTTCGTTTTTCTTTGCTTTTGTCTCCGAATCCCCCGTTTTTGGTCAGAATTTTGGAAATAGCCAAGGTTATATTACCAAGGAAACCTTGGAAATAGTTTGCCGACGTCAGATGTTTAATGAAGAGCCTATTTTCCTTGGTTTTGCGTCCCCCAAATGGCTTTCCTGGAAATAGAAACAACAAACACTGGATGTAAGGGCAAAAGAAAAGAAAATGATAAATAAAGACATAGACTACGAGTAGTCCCCTATTTTTCCTCAGGGATAGTAGAGCGAGCGAAACACGAGCGCACCTGACAATCACCCTACCCGAGAAAAATGAGGACTACTTGCAGTCTAAAAAAAACATAACGCGATAAACTGAAATTGAGTGATAAGTCGGTCAAGTCGTTCTGTAGTCACCTGAGTTTGAATGGCTTGCAAAGTTCTGCCCTCCTCGCGCCCTTATGGAAATCTTTACCGCCACATCGACTCTGTAGTCAACCGTCACCGCGTGAATCGAGACTCTCAGTTTCCAGGCCGCCGTTGTTCAAACGTTGGATAGCGGTATCCACAGGATAAAAATCTATCCAATAGATAGCGTAATTGATTTCCCTAATACAGTTATCCGCTGGATAGTGATTTATCCGGTGGATAGCGCTATCCAACGTTTGAACAACCGGGATATATAAGGAGTTTCGTCATTTATTTCTTCCCAAATTAAATCCTCTGTACAAGGGCAATATTTCGCTTGTAAGAGACCGGCAAAATCGACTTTTTTGGATTTTTGAGTTTAAATGAACATTAACTGCAAAGGACCACAACGAATAAGCCACAGAACGTCTCATCTAAAGAAGACCTGATCAGCAAAAATATACTTGAAAATTAAATTTCCAAGACATCAACAAAACACCGATCGAACCCAAAAAAGAGCGAGGTTGTAGCCGTAGACAGCTATTTCGCCATTATTGTGGCTCATACAGATTTAGGCCCTGAACTAGTCTAGGACACAGACGAAGACATACTTTGGGCTTTGACATGCAATCCGGGAACGCGTGACGAAGCTCTAACGAGGTGCGGCAAGGGAAGGTATTCCTGGACATATTGAAAGTCTAATCTAAATCTCCGATGCTTACAAACCTCGCCTGAGTTCACTTGAAGCGGTCAGCGGTGTCATTGGAGGCGGAGGCAAAGGTGGTTTACATGAAGTAACTTCCGCATGATCCGGTATGGTGGGAACCTCACTTGAGTAGATAAGTTCTCCAGAGGACGATTCGTGTCCAGATCCCAACAGATAACGATCTCCGCTGTCAAGAGACGAAGCCGACACCTTCTCATTTTTGCTTGATACCTTTCCGCCAGTAATCACGGTCTCCTTTGACTTTAACAGTTTTTCTGTCATTAGAATTTCCTCCGACGAACACTCAACCGAAGAAACCAGCACCAGTTTCACTTCCTCCTCGTCTTCCATTGTTATAATAACTTCGTTTAAGGGTGCCACTGGAGTCTTACACGATTCTGAGGAATTGGTTTTGTCGGATTCTATGGGAACACTTTCTCCAGATCCCTTGGAAAGACAAGAGGATTCTGCGGAGGTCTTGGCCTGGAGTCGATGGTTTACCGTGGAGTCTGAAGCCGTCACGTTTTCGCCAGAAGCAGAATAAGTTTCCAGTTTGATTTTAGGGAAGGACTCTTTACAGACTGTCCTTGTGTCTGATTCCGACGTCAAGGAAGGCGTGTTGTTTGGAGTAGACGGAGGTGTTTCATTTGGTGTCCAGATAGATGGCTCAGACATTGACGAGCCTGTGGATGGGACTGCAGAGTATAGTGAGTCGAAAGATTCATTAACAGTCCATTCTTCCGCTAATGGGGTTCCTGTGCTGCGAAATGAAGGAGTTAAATCCAAGCCCCGTAGCCCTTTACTAGGGATTGCTGGTGGATGTGCAGCGTAATTGATGCTCTGACCGGTTTGAGGGGAGGCCTTGGGCTTTGAGCCAGATTCACTTTTGGATTCTGCTTTGTTTTTACCTCCTGCGACTTTTTTCTCGTAAATAATTTCCTCATCGCTGACAGCTGCTTCCTGTTCTGTTGGCCACGGGGTCACCAAGCCGAGTTCAGCGTCGCTGGGCTCCCCAGAACGCTTCTTACACTTCCTCCTATGAACAGAGAATGGTCAAAAAAAGGGAATGACTAAAACTGATGTACTCCTCCCTTGGTAGCTCCATTGAAAATGAAAGGTAATAAGATGGATTGGAACTACTCTATAAATAAGGCATAGGAATACGTCGCTGTCTCGCGGGTAGAGCTTTCAAGGAATTTTGTCTGAATGAGTTATAGAAATCAGAGGAATTGGCCTTAAATAAAGCATCATTTATGGGAAACTTATCATTAGTGTAACGCGAAGAACAAGAGTGAAATATTAGTTCCTACTTAAACTGGGAAGGGGAAGAGATTTTTACTGTCTAGTCCACTAGAACGGGGTTCTGAAATTTCTGCTATACAACTCTGGCGATTTTATTCCATTAGGAAATTGAGTATTTTTAATTTTCATTGGACAGAAACCTTGCACCAGAATATTTTGAGCTACATCGCATTCTTTTTTACACTTTTTTAAGGGCTACAGATGTAATAAGTAATCTGTAATAACACCAAAGACAATTTCTTACCGGAGCCCAAGAAAATAAAGTTCAATTTTCACGGGATTTGAGAAAACACAAGTAAAATCGTCATGCGTAAGATTTCATTTTGCCAAGTTTGAGGCTTTTGAAATTTAAGGGTTTCTTGGGCTCCAATCAGAACCTTTTCTTCGGAGTTTTTTCGTACAACTTATTACATTTATAGCCCTTGAAAAGTGTGAAAAAGAATGCAATATGCTTGAAATGATTCTGGTACAAGGTTTTTGTCCACTGCAATTTCAAATTACTCAATTTCATAATGGATTTTGTCTTTAACTCTCACGAAGCTCTAAAAATAGAAAAACTATAGAAAAATATTCCTTTTGATTTTAATGAAATTAATTTTCTCTATTTTACATTTCAGTGGAAAAAGCTAAGATTAACTTTTGCTGCATAGCCATTGCATGAACCACCATAAACACCTGGCTGAAGAGCAGCTTATAACATATACTATTAACTTACCGTAGACGCACCAGGCCAGAAATAAAACAAAGCAAAACCAAGATACCGGCGCAAATTCCTGCAACAATTGCTGCGGAACCAGATTCCGAAGGATCGTGAGGCTTTTTGTTCTTTTTCTTCTTCTTTTTCTTGACATTCTTGTCATCGTCTTTGCTTTCATAAAGATGGGCCACTTGCCAACGAATGCCTGAAGACGTCATATGATCAGGGTATGGTGTAGCGGTGTTGTGTCTGCTCCCTTGCTTAGATGAGCCTCTGCCATGTCTCCATGACATCTTAGGCTTGCTTCGCGGAAAAGCTTCTTCTCGAGAAGACTGTTGCTCATTTTCATTGGCTTTTTCTGGGATGTTTTCTTTTGATGTGGTACGGGATTCATCGTCTGAGTCAGTATCATGTAAGTTGTCGGTTTCTTTCAATGAATCCAGCTGAGTCGGTGAGGAGAATAGTTTCAGAGGTACAGGTTGTGTTCCTCCCCAACGAACCTTTTCTAGTTCGTCAGCATCAAAAAATGAGGAGGCAGTGAACGCGAGAGAGTCCCTTGGAACTTGAGTTCGAATAGGTGAACCTGCAAGGGTAACGCCCAACAAAACAAGAGAGGAGTGAACAGGGTTACTAATTATCTCCGATTCTACTTTAGCGAATAATCATATATAATTTCAAGCCGGGGTGGCAATAACCTGAGTATCCGGCCCTACTTAGTGGGGGAGGGGAGGGGAAGGGGGGAGGGGTAGTGAGAAGCGAAAGCCTAATACTCAGGGGTTAGGGTGACAAAGACTTCAATCTAGAATCTATAATTTCATGGGGCGTCATCTCTCACTCTGTTTTGGAACTTCTGGGCAAATTTTAAGGATGAGTAGATAAAACCGTGGAGTTTCATAGAGTAATGCTTAGTGGTTAAACTCGTTAATACATTTTCATAAAATATTACTGTCGTTTGCGCGCGCGTTTGTACTATAGCCTAAGCAACAACGCTGAGAAAAACTTTTGTCAGCCTGTACAACAACTATATGACGAAACCTTTGCCGATTATTTATTTTAGAAAAAGTTAAACCCTAGACCTCAGTTGTTCTTCTGTCCCGCCTAGATTAGCTTTTGTTACCTGCAGACAGTGTAATAAATTAAGTTTATTCTTACAATAAAGTTGTGTTGTTGCTGTCGTTGCTGTTATTATTTGCGCGCGAAGAAAGTGAAGTCAGTCTATCACAGATTCAAAGGAAACACGGCTCAGGAAATAGATGTGGAGAATGTTACTCCGTTTGGGAAAAGCGACAAGCAATTAGTGGCGATTAGATGATGTGTTTTCCTCTGCAAAACTAGCTTTGAAGTAAAAAAAACTCTAAAATAAGTGTTCCCTTACCTTCGCAAGCATTATCCAGTATAAACAAACAAACCAAAATAGCAACGATCGCTTTTTTCTTTTCCATATTAGACGCTGCGTCAACAACTGTGTTCACACAACGCCATTTCGTCTGGAAAATGATTAAATAACTCGGTGACGTCATAAAGACAAATTTTAGTGATAATTTGATTAGCCTAATGCGCGCGCATTTCGCTGCTTCAAGGAACGCTGTTCTAGAAGTTCGTAGACGTTTATAGGTTCTTTTAAAGTTTAATTTTGATAAAGCTAATTAAATTTGATATTATTCCAGCGGCTTATTTTCAGTGTTTCTATTAATAGTCAGTGCTCGAAACGAAGCGACAAACAATACTAGGTTGTGTAAACTTCATGAGGTGTCCGTAGGGGTTTAGGCCGTTGGGATCTGATGATAACCGGCAAACCGTGGTCGTGTAACGACGGCAAAGAAATGTAAAAAAAAGTTTGAGGCACGTGCAAATTTGTTGTTTTTCTAATCTAAACCATATTCTTAATTGCTTTTTTGACGATCTCATTTCCGTCGTCCTTATCGTTACATAACTCAATAAGCCCCAAGATCCACATCCAAATTCTCCACACTGATCTCCATACATTTCTTTTAAGAATAGTTGAGAGAATTTGGTTTAAGATCAGAGCATTCTCCCTTTGGTAATCAATTTAGTAGCCTGCGTAGCAGGCGCTAGGAAATAAATGGGCGCAAGAAAAAACGCGCGCGCGAGAAGGAGACGCGCGATTTTCGGGGGCCTTTCGTGCAGGCGCTCCCTCTCCCTCGCGTGTATCCCTCGCGCGCGCCCGTTCTTTCTTGCGCCCATTTCCTAGCGCCTGCTACGCAGGCTATCAATTTAGTAATTCTCAGAACCTTTACTTTTGATGATCTGCGGATGTCGGTTGGGAGAAAATTGATGTTGGTCACGACTGTGACACGACTGTGACTAGTCAGTCTTATTGCCGTTCCTGTACTAAGCAGGTTCCGGGGACAGTGACGGCGAAGGAAGGTCGCTTAAAAAGTGAATTCGTGTTCTTCCACTGATCTTCATTGCGATTACAAAACATTCACAAAACATTCCAGCCTAGTATGTCTGCAACATATCTTTCCTCTAGCAATCAACAGATAGCTAACAGATGGACGATTACTATATCCTGCGAGCAGAGGCTACATTTTCGCAGTGTGAGTGAAATGCAAGCATCGTGCTACCATGATGTATTTTTTCAGGTTTTGGACAGATGCCATTCGAGGTTGAGCGCCACAATTACCAACCATCCAAGCCACAAGTTCAGTTTTTCCTTGGGAATAGACTGGTATGTTTTTTTATTTCATTCATTTTTTCTCCTTCACTCAGTTCCTCGTCACTTCCAAGGGCGACCAGAAATCTGAATCGCTTTTGTAAGTCAACGTTAAGTTAAGCAGCCAAATTGAGAAGAAGAAGAAGAAGAAATACTTTGGACACCTTCTCGCAATTTTAAATGATAGCTAACATTACATAACATAACATGATGAATTTTTTAAGAAAGGAAAATAAAAATTATAAATTATCTTGAAAAGGAAAAACTTGAGGTTGACCCTATGACTTGTCCTTAAATTAAACGATAGAGCAGATATAAGCAATGCACAATATAAAATATATAAAATAAGACATTTAAAAACTATTTACAAAATATAAATTGGATAAGTAATGATGAATTATTTAATAAGCAAAGTTAGTAAGAGAATAGGAATTCTTGGCCGCACCAGGCGGAGCATTAGTATGCATACTGCTGGTACAATTTACAGATCATTTATTCTTCCTGTTCTTGATTATTGTGATACCGTTTGGAACTGTTGCGGACGTACGAATGCTGATAATATAGAAAAATTACAGAGACGTGCGGCAAGGATTATCATGCAAACCAACAGCAGTGATGAAGCGCTAGCTCACCTTAAATATGATACGCTGGGGCTTAGACGGCAGCTTCACGCGTTAAACCTTGTGAAGAAATGTCTAAATAAGCACTGCGCGCAATTTTTAATGGATTACTTTTATTTTAATAGAGATATCGTACAGAGAAAAACGCGGCAAAGTAATCATCTCCGTCTTCCCTCCATCAAATTAGAATGTGCGAAAAAAGGTTTTTATTATCATGGATGTGAAGTTTTTAATCGTAATTTGTAGTTTTTATTAATAGCTTGTAATAATTTTTATCCTTTTTTTAAGGATATTTTTCTGTTAGCTTAGTTAGGACTAGTTTTAAGTATTTTTAACACAATTTTATATTTCTTTTGTTATCTAGGGCCTCTAAGGATATCAGTTTTTGTAACTGTAGGAGTTACCCCAGCTAAATAAAAATATGTTCTTCTTATTCTTCTTCAAGAATAACGACAGATGAACAAGACGAACAACTAGCTTCAAAGAGTGAATATCAGGAACGTGAATATGAATCTGAATATCAGGAATATGGTGATTTGGCCTGTTCCAAGCGTACGTTCAGATAGTGAGGGGACAGTACGAAGAAACACAAGCAGGAAAACATCCATTCTGCGCCAGACTCAGGCACCGATCAGTTCGAAACTTCAACATCCCCCCGGGCAAACCCCGGGCATTTGACCAACACTTAAGTGTCCCAGGGGAGAGGAGAATTTGACCAATTGTTCTTAAACTACCCAGAAAAACACACAGAAGAGTAGATATAAGGGTCTGTAGGTAAGCAAGGACCTCAAAACCAGTTTATTGGAAAATCACTGTAAGGTTATAAGACCGTCCTTAGTAACAAAACCCGCTATGATGAAAAACAAACCTCTAAAGAAGCAAAGTACGACACCACCGGATACGAAAACGTAAAACTGTTTCTTGGAAAATAGGGAACGTACTGCCCCCAACCCCCTCCTACTGAAACTGGCTGCGGTGTCGTCCACTCGGAGGCAGAGGTACACGGAAACTAACGACTACCAAATGCCTACAAACAAATATAACAAACATTGACGAATAAAATAAAAATTTAGTTGTTGGAATGAATTGTGACCTAGACTGATTCGAATTTGCAAAGAACAACTAAACATATCTCAGAAGAAGAAACAAAAAGCAAACTGCGGTGATAAACATAAGGAAATATAAACGCATTTCTGGAAAAAAGAATAAAAAGACTTTAACCTCACGTATCGTACGTTCCAACACACATTTTCTTTAATTAGTTACTTATTCTACATTTAAATTTCTGTTGTTATTCAAAGGCTTATTTATACTTCTGAAGATGTATGTTGGAACATACTAAACGTCAAGATAAAGGCTTTTTTCCTTATGATTATCACCGCAATTTCCTTTTTGTTTCTTCCTAAGCTAAGATGGTCAAAAAACATCAGAAGGCTACCCACAATTACACTAAGCCGACCTAGTCCTCTGGTTCGTGCCGGCAAAATAGCTATTAGGGTCTGTTCCATTACACTACACTGTCAGAAATACTATTTACCTCGCTGGCGTGGGGAATTTGAACGGGTAATGTTAAGTTTAACTTCTCCGCCATGGCCAATGCCCAAGGTCAGAGCCACAGGGCACAGGAGCGAGGGCACCTGTAGCCTTTTATTTTTTCGGCGTGATACAGACTCCCCTGCGAATACAGTCGCCTCTTATCCCCTGATTCGTTACGCCCCTTCTATGAAAAAGGCAAAGAGGCCGTTCTTCGTGTCATCACGCAACGCTCCTCCCAAAAACGGCTGCTGAGCATGACCCGTCTGTGGAGAGGAGCGTTGCGTGACGACACAAGAACGGCCGTGAAGCAGACAAAGTCACATAACCAACAAATTGTCTCTTCTAAATTAAAACGACCTTTTCCAACTGACCTAAGCATGTCATGATTGTTACATTTCTTTGCATTTGAAAGAACTGTAAATGTGTAGTAATATCATATGACCATTTCTGAGGAATCATTCGTCTTTCCACATATTTCGGATAAGATGGCTTTTCTCATTACATCGTCCCTTCTTCAACCAATGCGTTCTAAGGTCACCGTAAACTTTCGGTTCAAGGGGAGATTTTGAAACATACCATTTACATATTTGACACATTGATAAATCAATGTTGCTTCGAAACACTTTGTATTTTAGTCTCCATTTAAAGTATTCATTATAAGCAGTGTTATTTTTGTCCAGATACTGAAGGTACTCTGCCAGTTGTTTAACAGTTTTGAAGTCCATAACATTGATATAGGACCCCGGGATAGCCAGCTTGGAGTAATCGGCACCTCCCATCACAACTGGGATGACATTCATATCACCTGGAATAAAAAAAAGATCTAATCATGATCTGAAAACTACCAAACTGTGCAATATTTAAAGAGGGTCTGAATGGGGTTTAGTGTTAAATGTTATTCTCCCATAATTTTTAGTGTTTGCTGTACAAAATTAGCCAAGTTTTTAATGTTTGGAGTTTCCGAAGAAAGTACTGTTAAGTGTTTGGAGGGTTCTTCGGATATCTTCAGCAATGGTCGGACCTCTTCGTTAGTCTTCGAAAATGTTCGGCAGTCTTCGGGAAACTTAGGTAGCCTTCGGAAATCGGAAATAAATTGTCGTAAAATGGCCGAAAACTCCTTGATATACTTAACAAAATAATATTGGCCTTTTTGAGGCCGTTTTTTCTTCTTTCTGGAGAAAATTTACTGTTTCAAAGAATTTTTTACTGTTAGTGTTAAAATGCCTAAAATTTAACTGTCTCATGTTACAAAGCCAAAAAATGAAGTGTTAGTATTATCGATGTACCCCCATTCAGACCCTCTCTAAATGGCAGACGCCCATGGCTGAAATGCTATTTACCAATGCTGTGCATCTGTATTAAGCGGTCACCCTCTAATAACCGTCCCAGAAATCTGTGCCAGTTAGAGGGTCTGTATCATGGCCCGCAGGCAGTTGTTCATTTCACTCATAATATTGCAAGTCAGAGAAGAAAACATTACAGAATCAGGAAAACAGGAAATTAGAAAAACTTTTAGGCTAGCGAGTATTTTAAAATGCCACAATTTAGGAGCCCATAACCTGGAGCGAGTAACTCCCTTACTAGGCCCATGTCACGGCGCTTTTACGGATCAGTTGATTTTTAGACACATTTTAGGGCACTTTTTCCCCGCTAATATAGAATCTCCACCACGTCTATGAGCGCATTCGAAGTATATTATAAGATATCAAAAAGGAAAACTAAACGTTATTAAAAGGCAGAAAATATCATGTTTAGATCTGTAGGTTTTTCTTGACAGTTTTGTGTTTGTTACTTGGAGGCTCCGCCCTTAGGTCCAGCCCATGTCCATTTTATAGAGGAATTTTTGAGAGGAACAGTACCCCTTTTGTAGACCTGCTATTGACAAATGGTATCCCTTTCACATACCTAGTAGTTTAAAACTTTCCATCCATTTGAGTTGCAGATGTAAATTCACTGTCCTTAAAATATGGATAAACTACAAAACCAGAACGTTTTCTCGACTTTTTCATAAATACTGTCACATGCCAGTGAGAAATCGTCCCGCTGATTGCCTGGTTTTGATTGGATGTCATTAACCAAATGGTTGAACAGTAACTGATTTAAAGCAGACTTGGTAGGCGATTACTACGCATTTTGACCGTTCAAAAACTGTGGGATTTTAATTTTCTTCCAAGGCTAGCTCCGGGCCTTTTGGATGGATAGTCTTTGGACTTCTCGTTTAATTTATGATGCAAAGGTGCCCCAGAAACCGGCGTACTATGAATAAAACAAATTCGAGTTTTGACTATAAAAATGAGCTAAATTTCAACCTAAAGCACAGAAAAGTTCAAAAGTCGATTTTATCCGAGAGATTGAGTGCATGACCCGTACGAGACAGCGGGAGATCGATGCCGTATCCGGGAGAGTTGGCAACAACAACAACAACATAAGCTTTATTTGCATGACTATAATTATGTAGTTACAGTATTGCAAAAGCTTTAACATAAAAAAACAAACAAACAAACAAACAAATCATAACAATGATAATGCAATACAATAATTACTATAGTCAATCAAGTGTCATCAGCATGATTTGATAACAAATTATTACGTAAATCATTACATAATGAGACACATATTTCAACAAATGTGAATTTACGGAAAAATTCTGTGAATTCATCAATTTAATTATTAATTCTGTGTAAGATAGCTGATTAAAGTCGACAAAATTTTGTTGGATTTGATTGTAGAATTTCTCCCTTGAGATTGAGTATTTTGGACAATGAAAGAGAAAATGAAAATGAATAGCATGTATGCGGAAACTCTCTGTTGGAACGACCCAAAAAATGGTGTTCTATTTACTTTCCAACTGGACTTTCGGAAACTATTTTGTACGTGTTAAAAAAATAGGGTCTTACCAAGCCTTCCCCAATATTTTTCAGTGATGTAATCTTCACATAAAACGTTCTCGAATGCCAGATAAAACTTAAACGTTTTAAGGCAAGCAGTTAGATTTCCACATCCTTTCGGTTGCCCAAATTTTCCGGAACACCTTCCAAACACGTCAAACTTGATGTATTTTTTCAGCGTTTCGGCAAAAGCCATTCGAGGTTGAGCGCCACAGTTACTAACCATCCAAGCCGCAAGTTCAGTTTTTCCTTGGGAATAGTCCTGTATGTTTTTTATTTCATTTATTTTTTCTTCTTCACTCAGATCCTCGTAACTTCCATATGGCGACCAGAAATCTGAATCGCTTCTGTAAGTCCACGTTGAGTTAAAAAGCCCGTTTAATGGAGCAAGATTTGGTGTTGCAAATGGACTTTCCCACACAGCATATACCCAGCGCTGTGAAGTGGGCCTGTTTTTCAGCAGCGTTCTTAGATGATCTACACTTGGCATGTTTCTAGCGTGAAACACGACTAAGTCGCTTTCCTCAAACCGCTGTTTGTCGTAGGTCAATTCGAAATCACCTGAGAGACATTTATTTGCGGCAAATAAAAACTTGTTTTCAAATCCACATTTATCACGATCTCTTATCCACTCTGCTGTCCCGAAAAAAACAGTGTAGATGAGTAAAACTGTCTTTGTCCTTTCCCGTTGCGTGAGTTGTGAGTTGTTAGTTGTTGAATTCACGTTTATCATCGCGTCCAAGTTGTTTTCAAGCGAATGTGTGTTGTTTACTTGCAACGACGATTTCATTGTCCGCCTTGAAAACTTACCTAGCTGGATGTCGTCAAAAGTTAGCACGACGAGAAGGAAAATAATGAGTCCAGAGGAGAAAAAGAAAAAATATTCTAACCATCTTGTCCCCAGTTTATACGACCCTAGTCTACCCTGTTGCTGCCATGAAACGTTCACCATAACCGGTGTCAACATAAAAGCGTTGAAAAAATTGAAAATGGTTTAGAACACGGTTTGTCAACCACTGGCTAAACTTCGTTTAAATAACCGGCCTTTGAGTTTTTTAAGACCTTTCAGAAAAGTTCATTTGAAGGTCCACTGGTTTCCCTGTAAAATTTGTCTTCATTTGAGACTATTTTCACGAAAAAATTAGTTGAAAATCACGAATATCGGGTAAAAGATTTTAAAGCTCACGTAACACGACAAGCAAACCGGTCACAGTTCACGGGTTTTAATTTCGTATTTTCACCTTTCACGAAAATTAAAAACACTTAATCACGTATCACGCAATAACCCCTTTACCCGCCTCTTTTAAACAAAAGCTTGAAAAGTGGCTTCTTTGTTTTCATTCGCGAATCGTTATTTAAGTCGCGTTAATTTTGTTGAGCGTTAATTTCCGCGACGTTAATTAAGTGCAGAATTAATTTCCGCGCTTTTAATTTCCAGTATTTTAACCCCAATTTTGAAACCTGTTCAGACATTCTTGACACCTAAAAAACATTAACTACAAGCTTTCTTTCTTAGCATTTACCCTATAATTTCCTAATATATAGATTTAGCCAGGGCTAAAAGCGAAGCTCCCGCTGAAAATTTATAATTTAAATCAAAAAAATAAACTTGTAATAAACAAATCAGTTAACTTTAGGGCACATTCATGTGACTTTTAAGGGAAAGGCTAAGTGCTTTTAGAGAAACATAATTTGACAGTTCAAGAGTCAAACAAATCAGTCTTACACCAAGTTAATAGTCTTACATCAAGTTAATAGTCTTACAAGTACACCCACAAATAGCAATCACTTTAGCCTGTTCACAAACCCTCTATTTTCTCTTCAAAGTCCGTCGAGCGCGTGTGACAAAAAATAGACCGCGAGGGATTTATTTACCGCCAGCGCAATGAGGTTGGGGTGGGGGAAGAAGAAAATATTTTTCTTTCTCGCGTTCCGCGCTCACTCGCCTATATATGTTTTCCAAAAGAACGAAAAGAAAAATAAAACGTCTGTGTACAGTCTTCAATCATCTTCGATTACAGTAGATTAGGCCTGGAAAACAAATTCTTTCCAAACAAAATAACCCAGTCGCCCACCTACACCACGTTTATTTTATAAGGTTAATTCATAGTCTCTCCAACCACTTCGTTGGAGAGACTGTGGATAATTGGACAGCCCCGAAATGTACTTTTGTGCAACACACGATAGTCCTCAGGGGCAGCCAAAAATTTACACGTTGCATTCCTCTGTCTAAAAGGGAGGCCAAAATAAGAAATCAGGCCGGATTTGTAGTGTTCGACAAGTAAATCTTCAGGGGCACCCAACAGGAAATTTTGAGAAAAAGACCTAAAAACAACAACAAAGCGTGAATAAAGTTTTCTGAGACTATTTTAAGCATTTTGGGAGATTGCTGGAAAAAAATTATCTGTTCCTCACTCCCAGCAAGACTGATGGAAGAGTTCCCAGCCAGCAACCTTACAACCTGCAACCTGACTTACTGGGAAGTTTCATAGGGTACAATTCAGATCTTGAGTGGTAAGTAACCCATACATGTAACCCGTAGCAGCTATTCTAGACTTCAAATCCCCTCTGAGACCCTGAAATATCTTTTTCCCAGCAACACTTTCCTTTCAAGGACTATTATTTCTTCCACATCTCCCAGCCAGCAAAAATGTGCCTGAAGAACAGATATTTTGAGGAACAGATCCATTGGGTGCCCCTGAATCTTGGTGACAAATCTGCTGGCATGTAAACCAGCCTTTTAAATTGGCCATTTCGGACTTGCGTAGGGAATTGGGGCGAGTTTCAAATTTAAACCAATCGATCAACTGACACCACCAAATAAAAGGTCATGTTGAGATTGGTTATTTGACCAAGCTTGGTGCTCTAAGGTCGAACAGGGATCAAGTTATAACTCTTGAAACATGGTTAAAAATCCATACAAACTTCTGTAATTTTGCTGACAGCGTCCCCCAAAACCATATAAACTCTTAATTTTTTTCACAATTTATATGATATTCCTGAAAAGGGGCAAACATAGTGATTTTCGAATTAGTTCCTTCCAAGTAGAAGATTCATGACGAATTTTACAGTCTAACAGAAAAACTGAAAAATATTTTGACGAGTTTATATTTGAAACTCGCCCCAGTTCCCTACGCAACTCCGAAATGGCCAATTAAAAAGGCTGCTTTACACGCCACCAGATTTGTCACCAAGATTTACTTGCATTAAAAGTAAACTTGTCGAACACAGTGACCAGTGACCATCACCTTAAAGTGTTGTGTTGTGTTGGTCAGCTTAAATACCAGAATACCAGTTATATTAGTGCTTCTTGTGCCTTTGCAAAAAAAATCAAGAAGTGCTACACACTAAATCTAGTTACTATTAAAAAAATATCATTTTTTCATAGGTTTAATGCAAGCCAATAATTAAATCAACTCGTGACGGGAATATCTCGTTGAGCATTCGAAAGTCAGCCAAGCGCGGTCATTGCACGCGTGCTGAACAAGAATGCTGTATAATGACAGGCTAGAAACAATAGACAACTCCCAAAGCACAAACTCAGCCAAAACGCTAAAAATCTTCAATGTTTACTCAAGTTGGGCTTATAGAAGATAATGTCACAGTTTTTCAATGACCATGATATTCAGAGTCCGGGTAGTTGGTTAATCAATTGTGGCCCTGAAAAAATTGGAAGGAAAAAAAACTACGAATTTTTAAGAAAATGCTTTTTTCGTGAGAAGGACTCTTAAACGCTGACAAACGTCAACAAATAGCGAAAACTGTAATTTCTATATGTTTGCTTTGCTCGAAATCGCGCGCATTTACAAGGCCCTAAAGCGTTTTGCTGACTTGCAAGGACCCATCTGTTATAACGATGCCCAAAATAAAGAGATGAATCTCATAGTTTATTAGATATAATCCGTGTAAAGTTTGCTTATCATTTTCGCATAAATTATGACCTAAATTTGGAAACCGCTGAATTTCTCGAATTGGGTCTTTGCGATTTTGGTGAAACTCTGTTCAGCGCAAGACACTAATGCGCACTATGTGTAGCCGAGAGATTTTCACGAAAAAATGCCGGCAACAGCAGATTTTCGACTCAGACCTCAAAGGGGCGTGGCATTATAACCACGTGACATTTACTCCGATCTCCAAAAATTTTATGTTATATTGTAGATTGATCTATATGTTATCTATTCTATGTGTTAGACTTACGATAAAAGTAAAGGTGGGGATACCAGAGAGCTTCAAAGTAGGATGGTACCCCTCCAAAAAAACTGGGTCGAGTCACCTTAAGACATGCAAAGATGCCCCAGAAACCGTACTATGAATTAAAGAAATTCGATTTTTGACTATAAAAATGGGCTAAATTTCAAACTCAAGCACGCGGGTCTTACCAAGCCTTCCCCAATATTTTTCAGAGATGTAATCCTCACATAAAGCGTTCTCGAATGCCAGATAAAACTTAAACGTTTTAAGGCAAGCAGTTAGATTTCCACAACCTCTCCGTTGCCCAAATTTTCCGGAACACCTTCCAAACACGTCAACCTTGATGTATTTTCTCAGCGTTTCGACAAAAGCCTTTCGAGGTTGAGCGCCACAATTACTAACCACCCAAGCCGCAAGTTCAGTTTTTCCTTGGGAATAGTCGGGTATGTTTCTTACTTTATTCAATTTTTCTTCTTCAGTCACCTCGTAACTTCTATATGGCGACCAGAAGTCTGAATCGCTTCTGTAAGTCCACGTTGAGTTAAACAGCCCGTTTAATGGATCAGGATTTGGTGTTGCATTTGGAATTTCCCACAAAGCATATACCCAGCGCTGTGAAGTGGACCTGTTTTTCAGCAGCGTTCTTAGATGACCTACACTTGGCATGTTTCTAGCGTGAAATACGACTAAGTCGCTTTCCTCAAGCTGTTGTTTGTCGTAGGTCAATTCGAAATCACCTGAAAGACATTTATTTGAGGCAAATAGAAACTTGTTTTCAAATCCACAATCACGATCTCTTATCCACTTTGCTGTCCCGAAAAAAACAGTGTAGACGAGTAAAAGTGTCTTTGTCCTTTCCCGTTGCATGAGTTGTGAGTTGTTAGTTCCAAGCAAATGTGTGTTGTTTACTTGCAAGGACGATTTCATTGTTTTCTCTGAAAACTTACCTAGTAGGAAGTCGTCAAAAGTTAGCACGGCAAGAAGAAAAATACTGAGTCCAGAGGAGCATAAGAAAAAATATTTTGACCATCTTGTCGCCATTTTAAACGATAACGAAGAAAAATATGGCGATACTGGGTACAGTTGTATATGCAAAACAGCAGGGAACTTTCACGCATGGTAAGCGCTGTCACTCAATAGCCTAGAGCTGCGAGCCTAAAAGCGTGACGAACTAACCCCAAAGGACGTCTGCGGGGAGGCTACCTCATCAGTGGAAGAGTATACATCATCAAATGACGAAAGACTCATCGTCATTAAATGACGAAAACAGGGCATAGGATAAATGGAACCGGGCTTAAGCGAAGCCCTTGGCCAAGAGAAATTCTTGAACTCAACCGCTATACACCTTATTCTAAATGGCGACAAATTTTGTTATAATTCTATAGTGTCGTAATGATAATTTTGACCCTCGACAACTCGTTTCAAGATATAAATTGTTTTCAATTTTGCAAGTGTAGTCAGGCGAAAAGGGCTAATTAGCATGATATAAAAGAAACGCAATACTAGTCTTAAGAGTAAAATTCGCGAATCGACAGAGAAGCTGCATTTCCCATGCAAGTTAGCCTGAACAGGTTCTTACATAAATGATAATTAGGCTAATACGGTTCTTTAATAGATAGCTTCTTATATTCTGAAGAAAAAAAAAAGAAAAAATTCTATTTTTTCTTTAGAAAATACGAACATTGACATTGTACATTATAGCGAAGAGTATTTACTGGTTTTCAGCTAACTCTTACGCAATACATCTGCATACCAGCATTACATTGCAGTTGGAGTGATAATCACCTGTATTTTTCCAAGTTACTCTGAACAGGTTCTTCCATAAAAGGTAACCAGCACAAATTTACGTTATTAAAGTTCTTAAATAGGTTCTTATTTTCTGAAGAAAAGAAAGACATCATTTTTTCTTCAGAAAAGAAAGAAGAACAATGACAATGACACTGCACATTGCTGTCCATCCCAAGGCTGGACCCAAGAAAGGCACAATAAAAATATCTCCAAATAAAACATGCTCTACAATCTTTATTTATAAATGTTGCTGCATCACCTAAGATGCATGTTCTTATTACAGCTGCAATTATACGTTTTAACCATTCAATCCGTGTTTTAATACACTGCGTAGAATACAGAAGGGGGGCTGGGGTGGGGCTGGGGCGGGGGAAGAAGAAAATATTTTTCTTTTTCGCGTTCTGCGTTCACTCGCCGATGTTTTCCAAAACAACGAAAAGAAAAATAAAACAACGTCTGTGTACAGGCTTCAATCATCTTCGATTACAGTAAGATTAGGCCTGGAAAACAAATTCTTTCCAAACAAATTAAAATAACCCAGTCGCCCACCTACACCACGTTTATTTTATAAGGTTAATTCATAGTCTCCAACCACTTCGTTGGAGAGACTGTGGATAACTGGACAGCCCCCGAAATATAATTTTATGCAACACCCGATAGTCCTCAGTGGCAGCCAAAAATTTACACGTTGCATTCCTCTGTCTACAAGGGAGGCCAAAATAAGAAATCAGGCCGGATTATTTGTGTTCGACAAGTAAATCTTGGTGACAAATCTGGTGGCGTGTAAACCAGCCTTTTAAATTGGCCATTTGGGAGTTGGGTAGGGAACTGGGGCGAGTTTCAAAGTTCAACTTATCGATCAACTGACACCACCAAATAAAAGGCCATGTTGAGATTGGTTATTTGACCAAGCTTGGTGCTCTAAGGTTGAACAGGGATCAAGTTATAACTCTTGAAACATGGTTAAAAATCCATACAAACGTCTGTAATTTTGTTACAGCGTCCCCCCAAACCATATAAACTTAATTTTTTCACAATTTCTGTGATATTCCTGAAAAGGGGCAAACATAGTGATTTTCGAATTAGTTCCTTCCAAGTAGAAGATGCATGACAAATTTTACAGTTTAACAGAAAAACTGAAAAATATTTTAAAGAGTTTAAATTTGAAACTCGCCCCAGTTCCCTACACAACAGAAGGACTAGAATCTGGGAAATGAAAAAAGATAAATACACAAAAAACTCTTGCCAAGAATCAGGTCTGTGAAACATTTCAAATGCGAGATATTGGGAAAAACGGTTTACCAAAATTTATAGAGCTTTGTATGGAAACGCCATGTTGGTGTCCCTTTCAGGAACACCAATATGGCCGCCGGATACCAACAGAAACATCTGTTTTCGAGTTTTCCTACTAACGCGTGAATTCTTCGCTTGAGGAACTCATAAAGATTACAGTAATATTTATTCTGAGACAAGGAATGTTTAGATTGCAAAATCTCCCAAAATCGGTAATGTTTTTAACCCACACAAGAGCTTTCCCGGCCGCCAGCTAAATGCCGCGTCACGCAAAAGCCTGGAAATTCAAGCGTCCTCTCTCGCAAAACGAAGAACCCTTTCGAACCAAAAATTTGTTTATGTAAAGGTGTTTAGGTACTGTAATAGCCCTTGAAAGTAGAAACTCAGAAGAATCGATAGTTTCTGAGTTTGACTTTTGGTGACGTCACGTGCAACCCAAGAATACGGGTATGTGCCGCCTAACGGGGGCGTGATTTTGAAGCTCCTGATTTAGAACGGGGTATCCATTTCAGAGGCGTTTTCTAGAACGGGGTATAATACTTCGGACGCACGAAAGCTCCAGTCATTTTGTAAGCAGCCATTTATCTTCTGCTTAAAATTGTTGCTGATTATGAAGAAGCATTTATTTAATGTATAAGTCGAATAAATAAAGAAATATCTTTTTAAAAAACAGGGCTATTTCAATTGACAAACTTTCTAGCACGGAGTATAAAAAATTGGCCCATTTCTAGAACGGGGTATCAGTTTTAGGGCGAATTCTAGAACGGGGTATCAATTTTAGAGGAATTTTTTTTTAGAACGGGGTGCCAATTTGGAGTCCCGAGCGGCACATACCCACCCAAAAAATAACCAAGTGCCCCCCGGGTGTCTAACCGACTTTTAGAAAACCAACGAAATTTGCAGTCATTTGAGTGAAAAGGCGTCAAAAGAAGGTTTCGTAAGCCCGAAAAGCTCCAAAATCACAGTAACGAAAGAAAAGGAAAGCAGAAAAACAAAGAGTGAGGAGAAGGAAAGGTGGAGAAAAGAAAAAAAGCAATGGTTGCACTCTTGTTTTTTTTTTCAGGATGGCTACTTTGAGAGATATTTCTGGCCGAAAAAAAAAAAAAACTGTTGGACGCAAAAGGTCCATTTGGCGATAACGTTTTAAATAATCCGGCTAGATGTATGTATGTATGTGTGTGTTTATGTGTATGTGTGTGTGTGTGGTTGTATGTATTCTGCAATTGCAGAAAAAAACCAGATTGTCCACTCGAAGGAAAATGTCTCCAATCAAATGTAATCTACCAAGCCACTGTAACTACAGCGACGACAACTGAAACTTACGTCGCACTGGCAACAAACTTTAAGGAACGTTACAGAAACCATCAGTCTTCCTTTCGACGCTCGAACAGAAGAAATGAAACGGAACTCTCAAAATGTATTTGGACTTTACAAGACTCTAAAAAACATTTCCAGATAAAATGGAAAGTTTTAAAGAAATGTAAACCCTATAGCAACATTGGCAAAAAAAAGTGTAATCTTTGTCTTTATGAAAAGTTCATCATCATTTGTAAAAAAGAGCTTTGTAGCCTAAACAGGCGAAACGAACTGGCGAGTTCACGCCCCCACAGAAACAGATCTGTACTTCAGAACTCTAGAGTAACGTAACTCAGTAAGACACAATCCATCTGTTACCTAGATACCATCTCTTAACGCTTCCCTATATTTACTGCCAGCTTTTAATTTTAACGGTCAATCGTTGAAGTTGCCTGATGAGTGTGGTCCTACAATTTCGGACCATACGAAACAGCACTGTCGCAATAAACGATCAATGATTACTGCTGAAGCCTGAACTCGTGTGATTATTAATAGTCAATGCTCTTCAAGTAAATGGATTGACCGCTCTACGAAATACGTTCTACCTAGAATACAAGTATTTATCATGTATGTACGAAAGCCGAGGAGGGTCTCCCGACTTCTGAGTTCCGACTTCCAACTTCAGACTTCAGACTTAAGACTTCATACTTCAAACTTTAGACTTCAGACTTGACAAAGGGGCAGTTGGAAAACATGGACTGGACTCTGGACTGGACTGGACTCTGGACTGGACTTTGGACTGCACTTTGGACTGGACTTTGGACTCGATTTTTTTTACTTTTTTTTGGTTTCTTTATTTGTTTGCGAAAATCGTTTTCTTTCGACAATGTTATGTGGGTGGCTACACGTAGGTCACATTCCTGTCATTTCTCATTATCGCCTAACTTTGTTGACCTTTGTTTTTTCCCCACGATGTCTCCTAGTGGGGAGGAGCGTTGCGTGACGAGACAAGTAACGGCTGCGTAGGAGACTACACGATGGGAAAATAATGTCGACAAATCAGGCTGCCCAGATCCGACAATTCGTATGTTTATCTTCGCAATGATTGCTGGTTTTCACTGTGATTTTCACTGTGGTTTTCACAACATGGGGTTTAAAAATTGTCATGTAAACTTTAAGCGAGTCTTTAGTTTGACATACATATTCCATTACACACCAAGTGATTGGCCGCTACCTGGACGCGATTTCCGGTGTCGGTTATCAAAACTCCTTTCATTGTGAAACAGCATAATTATTTGCATGCGCTTTCCATTGCAACTTCTTTCGAAAATATGGATTCCTCAAACAAAACGTTCGCTGATGCGGTAAGAGGACAATGTGAAGAATCAAACAGTTGGTGGAGGAGTTATCAAGTGGAGGACGAGGAGGAGGCAATGGTTATTGCCATGGAAAAATCCCGCAAAATTGTAAAGGTATTTATTGTCTCATTCTGTTTGGTGCGTAATGTTGGGGTAAATCCAGAGATTTGGAATCTGTTGTGTTAAGAAAGTTATACAGACTGACCATAGAAAATAATACTGTGATCCCTCTGTAGGTGGATAGTTCAAGCGATGACGAAGCAGTTGAAATGACAACACCAGGATTCCCCCGCATGTTTAAAAAGGAGGGCAAGCGTCAGGTAAGCGTTTTCTTTCTGTTAGGGTGTCAGTGATTATCGATGACTTGTCTTTTAGAATTTCATGGTGCGTTTCTGCTTCATTGAAACCGGGGGGGGCACTTGGGTATCTTTTGGGTGGGTATGTGCCGCCCAGGACTCCAAATTGGCACCCCGTTCTAAAAAAAATTTTCCCCTAAAATTGATACCCCGTTCTAGAATTCGCCCTAAAACTGATACCCCGTTCTAGAAATGGGCCAATTTTTTATACTCCGTTCTAGGGTGCAACAAGAGTACAACGGTTTGATGTCCTTGAATACTTTCAAATGGCTGCTTACAAAGGTGGATCGAGCTTTCGTGCGTTCGAAATATTATACCCCGTTCTAGAAAACGCGTCTGAAATGGATACCCCGTTCTAAATCAGGAGCTTGAAAATGACGACCCCTTTGGGCGGCACATACCCTTATAGGTAATGCATGGGAGTACCCCCGGGCATTGAAAGCAGGACAATTCGGTCGCATACAGTGGAATAGCTTAAAAAACAAGAATCGGTGAAATATACATATTCAAACTACCGCACTGAATAGCCATGCAAGGCAGAGAGGAGGCTAGAAAAAAAAATACACCCCTTAAAAAACCAGTCCAGTCCAGTCCAGAGTCCAGTCCAGAGTCCAGTCCAGAGTCCAGTCCAGGTTTTCCATCTGGCCTTGACAAAGTGCGAACTCCGGATTTCTGATTTCTGACCGTTCAGACTTTCGGACCTCCCACTTCCCACTTCCGACTTCCGAGCCAATGCGCATGATCAGAGCCACATTACACCTGTAGCCTTTTCTCTTTTCGGCGTGATGCAGACTCCCCTGCGAATTCAGTCGCCTCTTATCCACTGACTCGTTACGCCCGTACTATTAAAAAGCGAAGAGTAAGTGTCACGGGTCTGCTTCACAGCCGTTCTTCGTGTCGTCACGCAACGCTCCTCCCCCAAAACGGCTGCTGATCGTGACCCGTCTGTGGGGAGGAGGATTTGTTTGCCGACACAAAGAGCAGCCGTGAAGCAGACTAAGTCACATAACCAACAAAGTGTCTTATCTAAATTAAAAGTACCTTCATGTCATGATTGTTACATTTCTTTGCATTTGAAAGAAGTGTAAATGTGTAGTAATATCATATGATCATTTCTGAGGAATCATTCGTCTTTCCACATATTTTGGATAAGATGATTTTTCTCATTACATCGTCCCTTCTTCAGCCAGTGCGTTCTAAGGTCACCATAAACTTTCGGTTCAAGGGGAGATTTTGAAACATACCATTTACATATTTGACACATTGATAAATCAAGGTCGCCTCGAAACACCTTGTATTTTAGTCTCCATTTAAAGTATTCATTATAAGCAGTGTTATTTTTGTCCAGATACTGAAGGTATTCTGCCAGTTGTTTAACAGTTTTGAAGTCCATAACATTGATGTAAGACCCCGGAATAGCCAGCTTGGAGTAATTGGCACCTCCCATCACAACTGGGATGACATTCATATCACCTGGAATAAAAAAAAGATCTAATCATGTTCTGAAAACTACCAAACTGTGCAATATTTTAAGAGGGTCTGAATGGGGTTTAGTGTTAAATGTTATTCTCCCATAATTTTTAGTGTTTGCTGTTCAATTGGCCAAGTATTTAATGTTTGCTGTTCCGAAGAAAGTACGGTTAAGTGTTTGGAGGGTTCTTCGGATATCTTCGGCAATGGTCGGACCTCTTCGTTAGCCTTCGAAAATCTTCGGGAGTCTTCGGAAATCTTCGGTAGCCTTCGGAAATCTGAAATAAATTGTCCTAAAATGGCCGAAAACTCCTTGATATACTAAACAAAATAATATTGGCCTTTTGGGGCCGTTTTTTTTCTTCTTTCTGGAGAAAATTTACTGTTTGAAAGAATGTTTTACGGTCGTTGTTAAAATGCCCAAACTTTAACTGTTTCATGTTAGAAAACCAAAAAATGAAGTGTTCAGTGTTATCGATGTATCCCGACCCTCTTTAAATGGTAGACGCCCATGGCTGAAATGCTATTTACCAATGCTGTGCATCTGTATTAAGCGGTCACCCTCTAATAACCGTCCCAGAAATCTGTGCCAGTTAGAGGGTCTGTATCATGGCCCGCAGGCAGTAGTTATTTTCAGTCATAGTATTGCCAGTTAGAGAAGAAAACATACACAAAATCAGGAAAACAGGAAATTTAAAAAACCGTTAGGCTAGCAAGTATTTTAAAATGCCACAATTCAGGAGCCCATAACCTTGAGCGAGTAACTCCCAAACTAGGCCTATGTCAGGGAATTTTTACAGACCAGTTTATTTTTAGACACATTTTAGAGCACGTTTTCCCCGCGAAAATAGAATTTCCACCATGTCTATGAGCGCATTTGAAGTATAAGATATCAAAAAGGAAAACTAAACGCTATTAAAAGGCAGAAAATATCATGTTTAGGTCTGTAGGTTTTGCTGACAGGTTTTTGTTTGTTACTTGGAGGCTTCGCCCCGAGATCCAGCCCTTGTCCTTTTTATGGGGGAATTTTTGAGAGGAAAGGTACCCCTTTCGTATACCTTCCATTGACAAGTGGTATCCCTTTCACATACCTAGTAGTTTAAAAAACAAAAACAGAACGTTCTTTCGACTTTTTCGCAGACATAAAATGTATCTGATCTGTCAGCCCTTTTGAGCCTTTTTACAACTGAAATGACAGATTTCCCCACCCATTCACATACTTCAACTAGTGAAACCCCTACCCTTTCATATACCCGAAGCCTGATAAAGTACCCCATTAGGGCGGAGCCAACAGGTATAGGCGATTATAGGGAGTACCCCCGGGGAACTTTCCGTCTGGACAAATACAGCCTGATTGCCACGCAGATGTTCCAGATGTTCCGCTACTCTCGGAAACAAAGATGCCAACCTCTTGAGATAAAAAACCTGGAGACTCTCTCTTTTGTACAACCCCCCTGATTGTCACCGACTCCCCCCACCCCCCACAAATCTACCCATCCAACAAATTATGACATGGGAATTTATGAAGTCTTACATGAAGTACATGCCACTAAAATTCTCTTTCATCATTGTAATGATAAAAGAATCTTTGTCAGTGACTTAAGGTGACTCGACCCAGTTTTTTTTGCGGGGGTACCATCCTACTCTGAAGCTCTCTGGTATCCCCACCTTTACTTTAATCGTAAGTCTAACACATAGAACGGATAACATATAGATCAATCTACAATATAACATAAAAGTTTTGGCGATCGGAGTAAATGTCACGTGGTTATAATGCCACGCCCCTTTGACGTCTGAGTCGAAAATCTGCTGTTGCCGGCATTTTTTCGTGAAAATCTCTCGGCTACAGACAGTGCGCATTAGTGTCTTGCGCTGAACAGAGTTTCACCAAAATCGCAAAGACCTAATTCGAGAAATTCAGCGGTTTCCAAATTTAGGTCATAATTTATGCGAAAATGATAAGCAAACTTTACAAGGATTATATCTAATAAACGATGAGATTCGTCTCTTTAGTTTGGGCATCGTTATAACAGATGGGTCCTTGCAAGTCAGCAAAACGCTTTAGGGCCTTGTAAATGCGCGCGATTTCGAGCAAAGCAAACATATAGAAATTACAGTTTTCGCTATTTGTTGACGTTTGTCAGCGTTTAAGAGTCCTTCTCACGATAAAAGCATTTTCTTAAAAATTCGTTGTTTTTTTTCCTTCCAATTTTTTCAGGGCCACAATTGATTAACTAACTACCCGGACTCTGAATTTCATGGTCATTGAAAAACTGTGACATTATCTTCTATAAGCCCAAACTTGAGTAAACATTGAAGATTTTTAGCGTTTTGGCTGAGTTTGTGCTTTGGGAGTTGTCTATTGTCTCTAGTCTGTCATTATACAGCATTCTTGTTCAGCACGCGTGCAATGACCGCGCTTGGCTGACTTCCGAATGCTCACCTAGATCTGATAATTTTGGTACAGTGAGACAGGCCATCGCGTGATACATAGAGGTTTAACTCGCAATTTTTAATCAATTCTCGTGCTTCTTGTGCCTTTGCAAAAAGAAGTGCTACACACTAAATCTACTTACTATTAAAAAAAATATCATTTTTTCATAGGTTTAATGCAAGCCAATAATTAAACCAACTCGTGACGGGAATATCTCGGTGAGCATTCGAAAGTCAGCCAAGCGCGGTCATTGCACGCGTGCTGAACAAGAATGCTGTATAATGACAGGCTAGAAACAATAGACAACTCCCAAAGCACAAACTCAGCCAAAACGCTAAAAATCTTCAATGTTTACTCAAGTTTGGGCTTATAGAAGATAATGTCACAGTTTTTCAATGACCATGAAATTCAGAGTCCGGGTAGTTAGTTAATCAATTGTGGCCCTGAAAAAATTGGAAGGAAAAAAAACTACGAATTTTTAAGAAAATGCTTTTATCGTGAGAAGGACTCTTAAACGCTGACAAACGTCAACAAATAGCGAAAACTGTAATTTCTATATGTTTGCTTTGCTCGAAATCGCGCGCATTTACAAGGCCCTAAAGCGTTTTGTTGACTTGCAAGGACCCATCTGTTATAACGATGCCCAAAATAAAGAGATGAATCTCATAGTTTATTAGATATAATCCGTGTAAAGTTTGCTTATCATTTTCGCATAAATTATGACCTAAATTTGGAAACCGCTGAATTTCTCGAATTGGGTCTTTGCGATTTTGGTGAAACTCTGTTCAGCGCAAGACACTAATGCGCACTATGTGTAGCCGAGAGATTTTCACGAAAAAATGCCGGCAACAGCAGATTTTCGACTCAGACCTCAAAGGGGCGTGGCATTATAACCACGTGACATTTACTCCGATCGCCAAAACTTTTATGTTATATTGTAGATTGATCTATATGTTGTCTATTCTATGTGTTAGACTTACGATAAAAGTAAAGGTGGGGATACCCGAGAGCTTCAAAGTAGGATGGTACCCCTCCAAAAAAACTGGGTCGAGTCACCTTAAGACATGCAAAGATGCCCCAGAAACCGTACTATGAATTAAAGAAATTCGATTTTTGACTATAAAAATGGGCTAAATTTCAAACTAAAGCACGCGGGTCTTACCGAGCCTTCCCCAATATTTTTCAGAGATGTAATCCTCACATAAAGCGTTCTCGAATGCCAGATAAAACTTAAACGTTTTAAGGCAAGCAGTTAGATTTCCACAACCTCTCCGTTGCCCAAATTTTCCGGAACACCTTCCAAACACGTCAACCTTGATGTATTTTCTCAGCGTTTCGACAAAAGCCTTTCGAGGTTGAGCGCCACAATTACTAACCACCCAAGCCGCAAGTTCAGTTTTTCCTTGAGAATAGTCGGGTATGTTTCTTACTTTATTCAATTTTTCTTCTTCAGTCAGTTCCTCGTAACTTCCATATGGCGACCAGAAGTCTGAATCGCTTCTGTAAGTCCACGTTGAGTTAAACAGCCCGTTTAATGGATCAGGATTTGGTGTTGCATTTGGACTTTCCCACAAAGCATATACCCAGCGCTGTGAAGTGGACCTGTTTTTCAGCAGCGTTCTTAGATGATCTACACTTGGCATGTTTCTAGCGTGAAACACGACTAAGTCGCTTTCCTCAAGCCGTTGTTTGTCGTAGGTCAATTCGAAATCACCTGAGAGACATTTATTTGCGGCAAATAAAAACTTGTTTTCAAATCCACAATCACGATCTCTTATCCACTTTGCTGTCCCGAAAAAAACAGTGTAGACGAGTAAAAGCGTCTTTGTCCTTTCCCGTTGCATGAGTTGTGAGTTGTTAGTTCCAAGCAAATGTGTGTTGTTTACTTGCAAGGACGATTTCATTGTTTGCTTTGAAAACTTATCTAGTAAGAAGTCGTCAAAAGTTAGCACGGCAAGAAGAAAAATACTGAGTCCAGAGGAGCATAAGAAAAAATATTTTGACCATCTTGTCGCCATTTTAAACGATAACGAAGAAAAATATGGCGATACTGGGTACAGTTGCATATGCAAAACAGCAGAGAACTTTCACACATTGTAAGCGCTGTCGCTCAATAATATTGAGCCTAAAAGGGTCACGAACGATCCCCAAAGGACGTCTGCGGGTAGGCTACCTCATCAGTGGAAGAGTATACATCATCAAATGACAAAAGACTCATCGTCATTAAATGACGAAAACAGGGCATAGGATAAATGGAACCGGGCTTAAGCGAAGCCCTTGGCCAAGGGAAATTCGTGAACTCAACCGCTATACATCTTATTCTAAATGGCGGCAAATTTTGTTATAATTCCATAGTGTCGTAATGATAATTTTGACCCTCGACAACTCGTTTCAAGATATAAATTGTTTTCCATTCTGCAAGTGCAGTCAGGCGAAAAGGGCCAATTAGCATGATATAAAAGAAAAGCAGTCTTAAGCGTAAAAGTTCGCGAATCGACAGAGAAGCTGCATTTCCCAAGTTAGCCTGAACAGATTCTTACATAAATGATAATTGGCACAAATGTAGGCTAATAAGGTTCTTTAATATATAGCTTCTTATATTCTGAAGAAAAAAATAAAGAAAAAATTCTATTTTTTCTTCAGAAAATACGAACATTGACATTGTGCATTATAGCGAAGAGTATTTACTGGTATTCAGCTGACTCTTACGCAATACATCTGCATACCAGCATTACATTACAGTGGAGTGATAATCACCTGTATTTTTCCAAGTTACTCTGAACAGGTTCTTCCATAAAAGGTAACCAGCACAAATTTAGGCTATTAAAGTTCTTAAATAAGTTCTTATTTTCTGAAGAAAAGAAAGACACCATTTTTTCTTCAGAAAAGAAGGAAGAACAATGACAATGACACTGCACATTGCTGTCCATCCCAAGGCTGGACCCAAGAGAGGCACAATAAAAATATCTCCAAATAAAACATGCTCTACAATCTTTTTTTATAAATGTTGCTGCATCACCAAAGATGCATGTTCTTATTACAGCTGCAATTAAACGTTTTAACTATTCAATCCGTGTTTTAATACACTGCTTAGAATACAGAAACCTTTAGGAGAAAGTCCACATTTGTAAGTTTGAATAAACCGTTCTTAGTAAAGGGTACAAAGATGACGTATGATGTTTTATAAGCTTTATACAGTCATTGTAGCGAATGTCAACCGTACACTGATCAATTGTACTTGCAAGAATCAACTTGGTTTCTCTTTACTTCTGTTTACTTTGATACGTACCACAGTATCTTAAAAGGTTCAGTTGATCGATACAATGAAATCGTATCATGTGATTTTCAAGGGAAAGGCTAACTGCTTTTAGAGAAAAACATTTTGACGGTCCAAGAGTCAAACAAAGCAGTTTTACATCAAGTTAATAGTCTTACAAGTACACCCAAAAATAGTAATCATCTTAGCCTGTTCACAGACCATCTATTTTCTCTTCAAAGTCCGTCGAGCGCGTGTGATAAAAAATAAACCGGGAGGGATTTATTGACCGCCAGCGCAAGGGGGCTGGGGTGGGGGAAGAAGAAAATATTTTTCTTTTTCGCGTTCCGCGTTCACTCGCCGATGTTTTCCAAAACAACGAAAAGAAAAATAAAACAACGTCTGTGTACAGGCTTCAATCATCTTCGATTACAGTAAGATTAAGCCCGGAAAACAAATTCTTTCCAAACAAATTAAAATAACCCAGTCGCCCACCTACACCACGTTTATTTTATAAGGTTAATTTATACTCTTCAACCACTCCGTTGGAGAGACTGTGGATAATTGGACAGCCCCCGAAATATAATTTTATGCAACACCCGATAGTCCTCAGTGGCAGCCAAAAATTTACACGTTGCATTCCTCTGTCTAAAAGGGAGGCCAAAATAAGAAATCAGGCCGGATTATTTGTGTTCGACAAGTAAATCTTGGTGACAAATCTGGTGGCGCGTAAACCAGCCTTTTAAATTGGCCATTTGGGAGTTGCGTAGGGAACTGGGGCGAGTTTCAAAGTTCAACTTATCGATCAACTGACACCACCAAATAAAAGGTCATGTTGAGATTGGTTATTTGACCAAGCTTGGTGCTCTAAGGTTGAACAGGGATCAAGTTATAACTCTTGAAACATGGTTAAAAATCCATACAAACGTCTGTAATTTTGTTACAGCGTCCCCCCAAACCATATAAACTCTTAATTTTTTCACAATTTCTGTGATATTCCTGAAAAGGGGCAAACATAGTGATTTTCGAATTAGTTCCTTCCAAGTAGAAGATGCATGACAAATTTTACAGTTTAACAGAAAAACTGAAAAATATTTTAAAGAGTTTAAATTTGAAACTCGCCCCAGTTCCCTACACAACAGAAGGACTAGAATCTGGGAAATGAAAAAAGATAAATACACAAAAAACTCTTGCCAAGAATCAGGTCTGTGAAACATTTCAAATGCGAGATATTGGGAAAAACGGTTTACCAAAATTTATAGAGCTTTGTATGGAAACGCCATGTTGGTGTCCCTTTCAGGAACCCCAATATGACCGCCGGATACCAACAGAAACATCTGTTTTCGAGTTTTCCTACTAACGCGTGAATTCTTCGCTCGAGGAACTCATAAAGATTACAGTAATATTTATTCTGAGACAAGGAATGTTTAGATTGCAAAATCTCCCAAAATCGGTAATGTTTTTAACCCACATAAGAGCTTTCCCGGCCGCCAGCTAAATGCCGCGTCACGCAAAAGCCTGGAAATTCAAGCGTCCTCTCTCGCAAAACGAAGAACCCTTTCGAACCAAAAATTTGTTTATGTAAAGGTGTTTAGGTACTGTAATAGCCCGTGAAAGTAGAAACTCAGAAGAATCGATAGTTTCTGAGTTTGACTTTTGGTGACGTCACGTGCAACCCAAGAATACGGGTATGTGCCGCCTAACGGGGGCGTGATTTTGAAGCTCCTGATTTAGAACGGGGTATCCATTTCAGAGGCGTTTTCTAGAACGGGGTATAATACTTCGGACGCACGAAAGCTCCAGTCATTTTGTAAGCAGCCATTTATCTTCTGCTTAAAATAGTTGCTGATTATGAAGAAGCATTTATTTAATGTATAAGTCGAATAAATAAAGAAATATCTTTTTAAAAAACAGGGCTATTTCAATTGACAAACTTTCTAGCACGGAGTATAAAAAATTGGCCCATTTCTAGAACGAGGTATCAGTTTTAGGGCGAATTCTAGAACGGGGTATCAATTTTAGAGGAATTTTTTTTTAGAACGGGGTGCCAATTTGGAGTCCCGAGCGGCACATACCCACCCAAAAATACCCAAGTGCCCCGGGTGTCTAACTGACTTTTAGAAAACCAACGAAATTTGCAGTCATTTGAGTGAAAAGGCGTCAAAAAGAAGGTTTCGTAAGCCCGAAAAGCTCCAAAATCACAGTAACGAAAGAAAAGGAAAGCAGAAAAACAAAGAGTGAGGAGAAGGAAAGGTGGAGAAAAGAAAAAAGCAATGGTTGCACTCTTGTTGTTTTTTTCAGGATGGCTACTTTGGAGAGATATTTCTGGCCGAAAAAAACTGTTGGACGCAAAAGGTCCATTTGGCGATAACGTTTTAAATAATCCGGCTAGATGTATGTATGTATGTGTGTGTTTATGTGTATGTGTGTGTGTGTGGTTGTATGTATTCTGCAATTGCAGAAAAAAACCAGATTGTCCACTCGAAGGAAAATGTCTCCAATCAAATGTAATCTACCAAGCCACTGTAACTACAGCGACGACAACTGAAACTTACGTCGCACTGGCAACAAACTTTAAGGAACGTTACAGAAACCATCAGTCTTCCTTTCGACGCTCGAACAGAAGAAATGAAACGGAACTCTCAAAATGTATTTGGACTTTACAAGACTCTAAAAAACATTTCCAGATAAAATGGAAAGTTTTAAAGAAATGTAAACCCTATAGCAACATTGGCAAAAAAAGTGTAATCTTTGTCTTTATGAAAAGTTCATCATCATTTGTAAAAAAGAGCTTTGTAGCCTAAACAGGCGAAACGAACTGGCGAGTTCACGCCCCCACAGAAACAGATCTGTACTTCAGAACTCTAGAGTAACGTAACTCAGTAAGACACAATCCATCTGTTACCTAGATACCATCTCTTAACGCTTCCCTATATTTACTGCCAGCTTTTAATTTTAACGGTCAATCGTTGAAGTTGCCTGATGAGTGTGGTCCTACAATTTCGGACCATACGAAACAGCACTGTCGCAATAAACGATCAATGATTACTGCTGAAGCCTGAACTCGTGTGATTATTAATAGTCAATGCTCTTCAATTAAATGGATTGACCGCTCTACGAAATACGTTCTACCTAGAATACAAGTATTTATCATGTATGTACGAAAGCCGAGGAGGGTCTTCCGACTTCTGAGTTCCGACTTCCAACTTCAGACTTCAGACTTAAGACTTCATACTTCAAACTTTAGACTTCAGACTTGACAAAGTGCGAACTCCGGATTTCTGATTTCTGACCGTTCAGACTTTCGGACCTCCCACTTCCCACTTCCGACTTCCGAGCCAAATACGAGCGTTTCAGGTGGGCAACTTAAATACGGCGATCAGTTCTTTTTCGTGACAGCGTGGTATAAAAAAAAAAATATGCGCACGCAAAAATGGCTGTTGGCGGGAAATTTCTGGGTGCGACGAGTGCTTCATAGAAACCCCTTTCAGAGTCCTTGTTATTGTTTGCTTGCTGTCTGCTGCGAGGGAAATTTTCAAAAAAGTTTAAATGTCTTGTGAAATATGACGTGTGTAGTTGCAAGTCGTCTTCTCGGTGGTTCAAATTCTCAAAGGAACTTCACGAAGACGTATGTGCATGCTTTAACGTTATAAATAAAGGAAAATGCTAGGTGATGAGTCGTTGTGTGCTTCGTGTCGGCGGAATTTGACTCAGTGGCGAGATAGTAGACCGACAAATGAAAAATACTTCAAGCTAGCAAACTCAAGGGGGAAACCTTGTCTAAACAAAGTGCTTATAGCTGGGCAAAACCTCAAACTCTTCCGGTTGGCCTACAATAGGCTTTTCCACATGTCTAAACTCTCGATGGAACGTCATCGCACACAGATGCCGTGTGAATTTGTCGACAAGTTGAAAACCAAGGGAAGAAAATTATTTTTAGTAAAATACAGAACTCAAACATAGACTAAACAACCTTTGCAACCTACTTGTAACATTGCAAGGCTTCAGGGCCTCCACAATGATCCGGATCCAACAACTCCGGTCACCAAATACTTCAAGCGCAGACGACGTTGAACTTTATTTACGCAGCTTATTGGGTCAAAAATGTAACAGCACACCACTGAATTGAGGTGAATAAGAAGCGCCTACTTCTTTTTCAAATTAAACGCCAACAAAATTTAATCAATCTGATAATCGTGTTCAACATTTGTGAATTTGAAAATTTTAGCGTTTTCTCTGCGGTCCGCATACCACATCCTAAAGCACAAAAATGTTGAAAGAAGTATTTTATAGGTCTTTATACACCATCATTCACTTATTTATAGAATTCTTTATGTTGCAAACTAATAATTGAACTGCTAAATCAATTCTGTGCCCTAATATCGTCCTTGCTACAAAATACAGAAGACAAAAACCAATTAACATATACCTACTTTAACACAGATTTTGGCTACACATCATAAAAGTTCAGTTTTTTTGATCAGTCTAATGAAGGCAAATTGTTCAGTACCCACATCACGAGTTCAGTAAACATACATAATGACATTCCATTCTAAGAACATGACCTGGAAAAATATGTAAAAAAAAAACTAACAAACGAGCAAGCAACATCTAGTAGTTCAATGACCACATATCAGTTCAATAATCACTGTCAGCAGTAATTCACAAACCACACAGCAGCCCAATGCTGTAGGCAATAATTCAAGGAATCGAAACAGTATATTTCATTCTTTTGGGATGTGGAGAGGGGGTGGGGTGTACTGTAGGTTGACAAGGCAGTGGTTGTATTTACATCGCTGGTTTTTAAAAAAGCATTTTTTACAAATACATTTTTCATATTTCTTTGCTTTTTTTTTTCTATTACTTGGCATTGCAAAAATATCTGACACCATGATTTAAGTTTCTCTTCATTTCTTTAGCCTGGCTACCAGTGCACCACACACTCCTATCACTTCTTCTGGTTTAAATACAGAGGACCCCAACTAGTTTTTCTCTATTTATTTTAAATATTAATTTTTATGATCATTAAGATAATAAATTATGATGAGCTCATCAGTCAAAAACAATAAGCATCACATGCTAGCAAAATGTTGAAAGCCTTGTCTCATCAGGAGCTAAGAAGGCAATCAAGAAAATAGGTCAAGGGGTGGGGAGGGGAAATAAACTTTATCCAAGGGGAATTTGCCCATTGATTCCAATAAAATTCTTCATCATGCAAAGATTCTTTAAACACACTGTAAACACATTTTCATATCTTTTAAATGACCAACGTTAACTTGAGAAACACTCACAACAGGGAATCAACAAGTGCTGCAACATGATCTCTTCGCTTACGCAATGGATATTTTTTTAAATTTTTCAACAACATAAACATTTGAGTGAACCAGGCGCGACCCATAGGTCCGCTATGACTTCAAATTCGTTTTATTAAAACAGTACAATTAATTACCTACACAGAAAGATGAAAAATCACTTGTGGCAACTGGCTCAATTTCCCGCTCTAACGATGAAAAGACGACAACATCACTTGGCTCTGCTGTAAATGCAAATACCTAATCTCCTTCCGCACGAGGAAGTAACCTTTATCCAAATGCACGAATAAGCTTTCATTCTTAAAAGTTTAAAGTAGCCAACCAAAAATACACTCTTTCATTGGGAAACAAACATTACTGGTAAACAACCTTTGCTGAAGAGATCGAGGAGTCTAGATTATATGGTTCCAATATAATGCACGTCTCCAAAGTTTCTCCAAACGAATCCACAGTAGAGCCATCCTTTCGCCTAATTAGGGCGAGCCACTATAGTTTGGGTCCTCAAACATACTTAGCCTGGGGCAACACGGCTTTTAAACATGAAATTTGCCTGTGGCAACCGACTCGATTCAGAGATATCATTCACGAGAATCAAACCGAAGCGTTGAGGAAAAGCACCGCACCACTTGGTGAAAAGGCAACTTTCAGGGTAAAACTTTCCAGTGGGAATGTTGAGACGAAAATGAAAACCCTTCAAAAAGAATTACCGGAACAATAAGACGGTTTTCCTGCCAGTTAACAGTCCCGTTCGTCAATTTTCTGTCAGAATAGCAAGGAAAACGCACACAGCCCATTCACGGCGAAAAGAAAATCGCGCTTCGTGTCAATAGCATGCGTTCGAAACCCCCACAGTTTTGGTCAGCAGTTTCACCCTAAAGGCCTCCGCTGTTTACTTACAACGCGGGCTTAAACTTGATCGAGGAGCCCAAGATTGAAACGCTCGTGCAATGCGCATGATCAGAGCCACAGTACACCTGTAGCCTTTTCTCTTTTCGGCGTGATGCAGACTCCCCTGCGAATTCAGTCGCCTCTTATCCACTGACTCGTTACGCCCGTACTATTAAAAAGCGAAGAGTAAGTGTCACGGGTCTGCTTCACAGCCGTTCTTCGTGTCGTCACGCAACGCTCCTCCCCCAAAACGGCTGCTGATCGTGACCCGTCTGTGGGGAGGAGGATTTGTTTGCCGACACAAAGAGCAGCCGTGAAGCAGACTAAGTCACATAACCAACAAAGTGTCTTATCTAAATTAAAAGTACCTTCATGTCATGATTGTTACATTTCTTTGCATTTGAAAGAAGTGTAAATGTGTAGTAATATCATATGATCATTTCTGAGGAATCATTCGTCTTTCCACATATTTTGGATAAGATGATTTTTCTCATTACATCGTCCCTTCTTCAGCCAGTGCGTTCTAAGGTCACCATAAACTTTCGGTTCAAGGGGAGATTTTGAAACATACCATTTACATATTTGACACATTGATAAATCAAGGTCGCCTCGAAACACCTTGTATTTTAGTCTCCATTTAAAGTATTCATTATAAGCAGTGTTATTTTTGTCCAGATACTGAAGGTATTCTGCCAGTTGTTTAACAGTTTTGAAGTCCATAACATTGATGTAAGACCCCGGAATAGCCAGCTTGGAGTAATTGGCACCTCCCATCACAACTGGGATGACATTCATATCACCTGGAATAAAAAAAAGATCTAATCATGATCTGAAAACTACCAAACTGTGCAATATTTTAAGAGGGTCTGAATGGGGTTTAGTGTTAAATATTATTCTCCCATAATTTTTAGTGTTTGCTGTTCAATTGGCCAAGTATTTAATGTTTGCTGTTCCGAAGAAAGTACGGTTAAGTGTTTGGAGGGTTCTTCGGATATCTTCGGCAATGGTCGGACCTCTTCGTTAGCCTTCGAAAATCTTCGGGAGTCTTCGGAAATCTTCGGTAGCCTTCGGAAATCTGAAATAAATTGTCCTAAAATGGCCGAAAACTCCTTGATATACTAAACAAAATAATATTGGCCTTTTTGGGGCCGTTTTTTCTTCTTTCTGGAGAAAATTTACTGTTTGAAAGAATGTTTTACGGTCGTTGTTAAAATGCCCAAACTTTAACTGTTTCATGTTAGAAAACCAAAAAATGAAGTGTTCAGTGTTATCGATGTATCCCGACCCTCTTTAAATGGTAGACGCCCATGGCTGAAATGCTATTTACCAATGCTGTGCATCTGTATTAAGCGGTCACCCTCTAATAACCGTCCCAGAAATCTGTGCCAGTTAGAGGGTCTGTATCATGGCCCGCAGGCAGTAGTTATTTTCAGTCATAGTATTGCCAGTTAGAGAAGAAAACATACACAAAATCAGGAAAACAGGAAATTTAAAAACCGTTAGGCTAGCAAGTATTTTAAAATGCCACAATTCAGGAGCCCATAACCTTGAGCGAGTAACTCCCAAACTAGGCCTATGTCAGGGAATTTTTACAGACCAGTTTATTTTTAGACACATTTTAGAGCACGTTTTTCCCCGCGAAAATAGAATTTCCACCATGTCTATGAGCGCATTTGAAGTATAAGATATCAAAAAGGAAAACTAAACGCTATTAAAAGGCAGAAAATATCATGTTTAGGTCTGTAGGTTTTGCTGACAGGTTTTTGTTTGTTACTTGGAGGCTTCGCCTTGAGATCCAGCCCTTGTCCTTTTTATGGGGAATTTTTGAGAGGAAAGGTACCCCTTTCGTATACCTTCCATTGACAAGTGGTATCCCTTTCACATACCTAGTAGTTTAAAAAACAAAAACAGAACGTTCTTTCGACTTTTTCACAGACATAAAATGTATCTGATCTGTCAGCCCTTTTGAGCCTTTTTACAACTGAAATGACAGATTTCCCCACCCATTCACATACTTCAACTAGTGAAACCCCTACCCTTTCATATACCCGAAGCCTGATAAAGTACCCCATTAGGGCGGAGCCAACAGGTATGGGGCGATTATAGGGAGTACCCCCGGGAACATTCCGTCTGGACAAATACAGCCTGATTGCCACGCAGATGTTCCAGATGTTCCGCTACTCTCGGAAACAAAGATGCCAACCTCTTGAGATAAAAAACCTGGAGACTCTCTCTTTTGTACAACCCCCCTGATTGTCACCGACTCCCCCCCCCCCCCACCCCCACAAATCTACCCATCCAACAAATTATGACATGGGAATTTATGAAGTCTTACATGAAGTACATGCCACTAAAATTCTCTTTCATCATTGTAATGATAAAAGAATCTTTGTCAGTGACTTAAGGTGACTCGACCCAGTTTTTTTTGCGGGGGGTACCATCCTACTTTGAAGCTCTCTGGTATCCCCACCTTTACTTTTATCGTAAGTCTAACACATAGAACGGATAACATATAGATCAATCTACAATATAACAAAAACGTTTTGGCGATCGGAGTAAATGTCACGTGGTTATAATGCCACGCCCCTTTGAGGTCTGAGTCGAAAATCTGCTGTTGCCGGCATTTTTTCGTGAAAATCTCTCGGCTGCACATAGTGCGCATTAGTGTCTTGCGCTGAACAGAGTTTCACCAAAATCGCAAAGACCCAATTCGAGAAATTCAGCGGTTTCCAAATTTAGGTCATAATTTATGCGAAAATGATAAGCAAACTTTACAAGGATTATATCTAATAAACGATGAGATTCGTCTCTTTAGTTTGGGCATCGTTATAACAGATGGGTCCTTGCAAGTCAGCAAAACGCTTTAGGGCCTTGTAAATGCGCGCGATTTCGAGCGAAGCAAACATATAGAAATTACAGTTTTCGCTATTTGTTGACGTTTGTCAGCGTTTAAGAGTCCTTCTCACGATAAAAGCATTTTCTTAAAAATTCGTTGTTTTTTTTCCTTCCAATTTTTTCAGGGCCACAATTGATTAACTAACTACCCGGACTCTGAATTTCATGGTCATTGAAAAACTGTGACATTATCTTCTATAAGCCCAAACTTGAGTAAACATTGAAGATTTTTAGCGTTTTGGCTGAGTTTGTGCTTTGGGAGTTGTCTATTGTCTCTAGTCTGTCATTATACAGCATTCTTGTTCAGCACGCGTGCAATGACCGCGCTTGGCTGACTTCCGAATGCTCACCTAGATCTGATAATTTTGGTACAGTGAGACAGGCCATCGCGTGATACATAGAGGTTTAACTCGCAATTTTTAATCAATTCTCGTGCTTCTTGTGCCTTTGCAAAAAGAAGTGCTACACACTAAATCTACTTACTATTAAAAAAATATCATTTTTTCATAGGTTTAATGCAAGCCAATAATTAAACCAACTCGTGACGGGAATATCTCGGTGAGCATTCGGAAGTCAGCCAAGCGCGGTCATTGCACGCGTGCTGAACAAGAATGCTGTATAATGACAGGCTAGAAACAATAGACAACTCCCAAAGCACAAACTCAGCCAAAACGCTAAAAATCTTCAATGTTTACTCAAGTTTGGGCTTATAGAAGATAATGTCACAGTTTTTCAATGACCATGATATTCAGAGTCCGGGTAGTTGGTTAATCAATTGTGGCCCTGAAAAAATTGGAAGGAAAAAAAACTACGAATTTTTAAGAAAATGCTTTTTTCGTGAGAAGGACTCTTAAACGCTGACAAACGTCAACAAATAGCGAAAACTGTAATTTCTATATGTTAACTTTGCTCGTAATCGCGCGCATTTACAAGGCCCTAAAGCGTTTTGCTGACTTGCAAGGACCCATCTGTTATAACGATGCCCAAAATAAAGAGATGAATCTCATAGTTTATTAGATATAATCCGTGTAAAGTTTGCTTATCATTTTCGCATAAATTATGACCTAAATTTGGAAACCGCTGAATTTCTCGAATTGGGTCTTTGCGATTTTGGTGAAACTCTGTTCAGCGCAAGACACTAATGCGCACTATGTGTAGCCGAGAGATTTTCACGAAAAAATGCCGGCAACAGCAGATTTTCGACTCAGACCTCAAAGGGCGTGGCATTATAACCACCGTGCATTTACTCCGATCGCCAAAACTTTTTATGTTATATTGTAGATTGATCTATATGTTGTCTATTCTATGTGTTAGACTTACGATAAAAGTAAAGGTGGGGATACCCGAGAGCTTCAAAGTAGGATGGTACCCCTCCAAAAAAACTGGGTCGAGTCACCTTAAGACATGCAAAGATGCCCCAGAAACCGTACTATGAATTAAAGAAATTCGATTTTTGACTATAAAAATGGGCTAAATTTCAAACTAAAGCACGCGGGTCTTACCGAGCCTTCCCCAATATTTTTCAGAGATGTAATCCTCACATAAAGCGTTCTCGAATGCCAGATAAAACTTAAACGTTTTAAGGCAAGCAGTTAGATTTCCACAACCTCTCCGTTGCCCAAATTTTCCGGAACACCTTCCAAACACGTCAACCTTGATGTATTTTCTCAGCGTTTCGACAAAAGCCTTTCGAGGTTGAGCGCCACAATTACTAACCACCCAAGCCGCAAGTTCAGTTTTTCCTTGGGAATAGTCGGGTATGTTTCTTACTTTATTCAATTTTTCTTCTTCAGTCAGTTCCTCGTAACTTCCATATGGCGACCAGAAGTCTGAATCGCTTCTGTAAGTCCACGTTGAGTTAAACAGTCCGTTTAATGGAGCAGGATTTGGTGTTGCATTTGGACTTTCCCACAAAGCATATACCCAGCGCTGTGAAGTGGACCTGTTTTTCAGCAGCGTTCTTAGATGACCTACACTTGGCATGTTTCTAGCGTGAAACACGACTAAGTCGCTTTCCTTAAGCCGTTGTTTGTCGTAGGTCAATTCGAAATCACCTGAGAGACATTTATTTGCGGCAAATAGAAACTTGTTTTCAAATCCACAATCACGATCTCTTATCCACTTTGCTGTCCGGAAAAAAACAGTGTAGACGAGTAAAAGCGTCTTTGTCCTTTCCCGTTGCATGAGTTGTGAGTTGTTAGTTCCAAGCAAATGTGTGTTGTTTACTTGCAAGGACGATTTCATTGTTTGCTTTGAAAACTTACCTAGTAGGAAGTCGTCAAAAGTTAGCACGGCAAGAAGAAAAATACTGAGTCCAGAGGAGCATAAGAAAAAATATTTTGACCATCTTGTCGCCATTTTAAACGATAACGAAGAAAAATATGGCGATACTGGGTACAGTTGCATATGCAAAACAGCAGGGAACTTTCACACATGGTAAGCGCTGTTACTCAATAGCCTAGAGCTGCGAGCCTAAAAGCGTGACGAACGAACCCCAAAGGACGTCTGCGGGGAGGCTACCTCATCAGTGGAAGAGTATACATCATCAAATGACGAAAGACTCATCGTCATTAAATGACGAAAACAGGGCATAGGATAAATGGAACCGGGCTTAAGCGAAGCCCTTGGCCAAGGGAAATTCTTGAACTCAACCGCTATACACCTTATTCTAAATGGCGGCAAATTTTGTTATAATTCTATAGTGTCGTAATGATAATTTTGACCCTCGACAACTCGTTTCAAGATATAAATTGTTTTCAATTTTGCAAGTGTAGTCAGGCGAAAAGGGCTAATTAGCATGATATAAAAGAAAAGCAATACTACTCTTAAGAGTAAAATTCGCGAATCGACAGAGAAGCTGCATTTCCCATGCAAGTTAGCCTGAACAGGTTCTTACATAAATGATAATTAGGCTAATACGGTTATTTAATAGATAGCTTCTTATATTCTGAAGAAAAAAAAAAGAAAAAAATTCTATTTTTTCTTCAGAAAATACGAACATTGACATTGTACATTATAGCGAAGAGTATTTACTGGTTTTCAGCTAACTCTTACGCAATACATCTGCATACCAGCATTACATTGCAGTTGGAGTGATAATCACCTGTATTTTTCCAAGTTACTCTGAACAGGTTCTTCCATAAAAGGTAACCAGCACAAATTTACGTTATTAAAGTTCTTAAATAGGTTCTTATTTTCTGAAGAAAAGAAAGACACCATTTTTTCTCCAGAAAAGAAAGAAGAACAATGACAATGACACTGCACATTGCTGTCCATCCCAAGGCTGGACCCAAGAAAGGCACAATAAAAATATCTCCAAATAAAACATGCTCTACAATCTTTATTTATAAATGTTGCTGCATCACCTAAGATGCATGTTCTTATTACAGCTGCAATTATACGTTTTAACCATTCAATCCGTGTTTTAATACACTGCGTAGAATACAGAAGGGGGGCTGGGGTGGGGCTGGGGCGGGGGAAGAAGAAAATATTTTTCTTTTTCGCGTTCCGCGTTCACTCGCCGATGTTTTCCAAAACAACGAAAAGAAAAATAAAACAACGTCTGTAAGATTAGGCCTGGAAAACAAATTCTTTCCAAACAAAATAACCCAGTCGCCCACCTACACCACGTTTATTTTATAAGGTTAATTCATACTCTCCAACCACTCCGTTGGAGAGACTGTGGATAATTGGACAGCCCCCGAAATATAATTTTATGCAACACCCGATAGTCCTCAGTAGCAGCCAAAAATTTACACGTTGCATTCCTCTGTCTACAAGGGAGGCCAAAATAAGAAATCAGGCCGGATTATTTGTGTTCGACAAGTAAATCTTGGTGACAAATCTGGTGGCGCGTAAACCAGCCTTTTAAATTGGCCATTTGGGAGTTGCGTAGGGAACTGGGGCGAGTTTCAAAGTTCAACTTATCGATCAACTGACACCACCAAATAAAAGGCCATGTTGAGATTGGTTATTTGACCAAGCTTGGTGCTCTAAGGTTGAACAGGGATCAAGTTATAACTCTTGAAACATGGTTAAAAATCCATACAAACGTCTGTAATTTTGTTACAGCGTCCCCCCAAACCATATAAACTCTTAATTTTTTCACAATTTCTGTGATATTCCTGAAAAGGGGCAAACATAGTGATTTTCGAATTAGTTCCTTCCAAGTAGAAGATGCATGACAAATTTTACAGTTTAACAGAAAAACTGAAAAATATTTTAAAGAGTTTGAATTTGAAACTCGCCCCAGTTCCCTACACAACAGAAGGACTAGAATCTGGGAAATGAAAAAAGATAAATATACAAAAAACTCTTGCCAAGAATCAGGTCTGTGAAACATTTCAAATGCGAGATATTGGGAAAAACGGTTTACCAAAATTTATAGAGCTTTGTATGGAAACGCCATGTTGGTGTCCCTTTCAGGAACACCAATATGGCCGCCGGATACCAACAGAAACATCTGTTTTCGAGTTTTCCTACTAACGCGTGAATTCTTCGCTTGAGGAACTCATAAAGATTACAGTAATATTTATTCTGAGACAAGGAATGTTTAGATTGCAAAATCTCCCAAAATCGGTAATGTTTTTAACCCACATAAGAGCTTTCCCGGCCGCCAGCTAAATGCCGCGTCACGCAAAAGCCTGGAAATTCAAGCGTCCTCTCTCGCAAAACGAAGAACCCTTTCGAACCGAAAATTTGTTTATGTAAAGGTGTTTAGGTACTGTAATAGCCCGTGAAAGTAGAAACTCAGAAGAATCGATAGTTTCTGAGTTTGACTTTTGGTGACGTCACGTGCAACCCAAGAATACGGGTATGTGCCGCCTAACGGGGGCGTGATTTTGAAGCTCCTGATTTAGAACGGGGTATCCATTTCAGAGGCGTTTTCTAGAACGGGGTATAATACTTCGGACGCACGAAAGCTCCAGTCATTTTGTAAGCAGCCATTTATCTTCTGCTTAAAATTGTTGCTGATTATGAAGAAGCATTTATTTAATGTATAAGTCGAATAAATAAAGAAATATCTTTTTGAAAAACAGGGCTATTTCAATTGACAAACTTTCTAGCACGGAGTATAAAAAATTGGCCCATTTCTAGAACGGGGTATCAGTTTTAGGGCGAATTCTAGAACGGGGTATCAATTTTAGAGGAATTTTTTTTTAGAACGGGGTGCCAATTTGGAGTCCCGAGCGGCACATACCCACCCAAAAAATACCCAAGTGCCCCCCGGGTGTCTAACTGACTTTTAGAAAACCAACGAAATTTGCAGTCATTTGAGTGAAAAGGCGTCAAAAAGAAGGTTTCGTAAGCCCGAAAAGCTCCAAAATCACAGTAACGAAAGAAAAGGAAAGCAGAAAAACAAAGAGTGAGGAGAAGGAAAGGTGGAGAAAAGAAAAAAGCAATGGTTGCACTCTTGTTGTTTTTTTCAGGATGGCTACTTTGGAGAGATATTTCTGGCCGAAAAAAACTGTTGGACGCAAAAGGTCCATTTGGCGATAACGCTTTAAAAAATCCGGCTAGATGTATGTATGTGTGTGTGTGTTTATGTGTATGTGTGCGTGTGTGGTTGTATGTATTCTGCAATTGCAGAAAAAAACCAGATTGTCCACTCGAAGGAAAATGCCTCCAATCAAATGTAATCTACCAAGCCACTGTAACTACAGCGACGACAACTGAAACTTACGTCGGACTGGCAACAAACTTTAAGGAACGTTAGAGAAACCATCAGTCCTCCTTTCGACGCTCGAACGGAAGAAATGAAACGGAACTCTCAAAATGTATTTGGACTTTACAAGACTCTAAAAAACATTTCCAGATAAAATGGAAAGGTTTAAAGAAATGTAAACCCTATAGCAACATTGGCAAAAAATGTGTAATCTTTGTCTTTATGAAAAGTTCATCATCATTTGTAAAAAAGAGCTTTGTAGCCTAAACAGGCGAAACGAAATGGCGAGTTCACGCCCCCACAGAAACAGATCTGTACTTCAGAACTCTAGAGTAACGTAACTCAGTAAGACACAATCCATCTGTTACATAGATACCATCTCTTAACGCATCCCTATATTTACTGCCAGCTTTTAATTTTAACGGTCAATCGTTGAAGTTGCCTGATGAGTGTGGTCCTACAATTTCGGACCATACGAAACAGCACTGTCGCAATAAACGATCAATGATTACTGCTGAAGCCTGAACTCGTGTGATTATTAATAGTCAATGCTCTTCAATTAAATGGATTGACCGCTCTACGAAATGCGTTCTACCTAGAATACAAGTATTTATCATGTATGTACGAAAGCCGCGGAGGGTCTTCCGACTTCTGAGTTCCGACTTCCAACTTCAGAAATCAGACTTAAGACTTCATACTTCAAACTTTAGACTTCAGACTTGACAAAGTGCGAACTCCGGATTTCTGATTTCTGACCGTTCAGACTTTCGGACCTCCCACTTCCCACTTCCGACTTCCGAGCCAATGCGCATGATCAGAGCCACAGTACACCTGTAGCCTTTCCTCTTTTCGGCGTGATGCAGACTCCCCTGCGAATTCAGTCGCCTCTTATCCACTGACTCGTTACGCCCGTGCTATTAAAAAGCGAAGAGTAAGTGTCACGGGTCTGCTTCACAGCCGGTCTTCGTGTCGTCACGCAACGCTCCTCCCCCAAAACGGCTGCTGATCGTGACCCGTCTGTGGGGAGGAGAATTTGTTTGCCGACACAAAGAGCAGCCGTGAAGCAGACTAAGTCACATAACCAACAAAGTGTCTTATCTAAATTAAAAGTACCTTCAAGTCATGATTGTTACATTTCTTTGCATTTGAAAGAAGTGTAAATGTGTAGTAATATCATATGATCATTTCTGAGGAATCATTCGTCTTTCCACATATTTTGGATAAGATGATTTTTCTCATTACATCGTCCCTTCTTCAGCCAGTGCGTTCTAAGGTCACCATAAACTTTCGGTTCAAGGGGAGATTTTGAAACATACCATTTACATATTTGACACATTGATAAATCAAGGTCGCCTCGAAACACCTTGTATTTTAGTCTCCATTTAAAGTATTCATTATAAGCAGTGTTATTTTTGTCCAGATACTGAAGGTATTCTGCCAGTTGTTTAACAGTTTTGAAGTCCATAACATTGATGTAAGACCCCGGAATAGCCAGCTTGGAGCAATTGGCACCTCCCATCACAACTGGGATGACATTCATATCACCTGGAATAAAAAAAAGATCTAATCATGTTCTGAAAACTACCAAACTGTGCAATATTTTAAGAGGGTCTGAATGGGGTTTAGTGTTAAATATTATTCTCCCATAATTTTTAGTGTTTGCTGTTCAATTGGCCAAGTATTTAATGTTTGCTGTTCCGAAGAAAGTACGGTTAAGTGTTTGGAGGGTTCTTCGGATATCTTCGGCAATGGTCGGACCTCTTCGTTAGCCTTCGAAAATCTTCGGGAGTCTTCGGAAATCTTCGGTAGCCTTCGGAAATCTGAAATAAATTGTCCTAAAATGGCCGAAAACTCCTTGATATACTAAACAAAATAATATTGGCCTTTTTGGGGCCGTTTTTTCTTCTTTCTGGAGAAAATTTACTGTTTGAAAGAATGTTTTACGGTCGTTGTTAAAATGCCCAAACTTTAACTGTTTCATGTTAGAAAACCAAAAAATGAAGTGTTCAGTGTTATCGATGTATCCCGACCCTCTTTAAATGGTAGACGCCCATGGCTGAAATGCTATTTACCAATGCTGTGCATCTGTATTAAGCGGTCACCCTCTAATAACCGTCCCAGAAATCTGTCCCAGTTAGAGGGTCTGTATCATGGCCCGCAGGCAGTAGTTATTTTCAGTCATAGTATTGCCAGTTAGAGAAGAAAACATACACAAAATCAGGAAAACAGGAAATTTAAAAAACCGTTAGGCTAGCAAGTATTTTAAAATGCCACAATTCAGGAGCCCATAACCTTGAGCGAGTAACTCCCAAACTAGGCCTATGTCAGGGAGTTTTTACAGACCAGTTTATTTTTATACACATTTTAGAGCACGTTTTTCCCGCGAAAATAGAATTTCCACCATGTCTATGAGCGCATTCGAAGTATAAGATATCAAAAAGGAAAACTAAACGCTATTAAAAAGGCAGAAAATATCATGTTTAGGTCTGTAGGTTTTGCTGACAGGTTTTTGTTTGTTGCTTGGAGGCTTCGCACCGAGATCCAGCCCTTGTCCTTTTTATAGGGGAATTTTTGAGAGGAAAGGTACCCCTTTCGTATACCTTCCATTGACAAGTGGTATCCCTTTCACATAACTAGTAGCTTAGGACTTTCCATCCATTTTAATTGCAGATGTAAATTCACTGTCTTTAAAATATGAATAAACTACAAAAACAGAACGTTCTCTCGACTTTTTCACATGAGACATAAAATGTATCTGATCTGTCAGCCCTTTTGAGCCTTTTTACAACTGAAATGACAGATTTCCCCACCCATTCACATACTTCAGCTAGTGAAACCCCTACCCTTTCATATACCAGAAGCCTGATAAGGTACCCCATTAGGGCGGAGCCAACAGGTATAGGCGATAATAGGGAGTACCCCCGGAAACACTCCCTCTGGACAAATACAGCCTGATTGCCACGCAGATGTTCCAGATGTTCCGCTACTCTCGGAAACAAAGATGCCAACCTCTGGAGATAAAAAACCTGGAGACTCTCTCTTTTGTACAACCCCCCTGATTGTCACCGATCCCCCCCACCCACCCCCCCCCCGCAAATCTACCCATCCCCCAAATTATGACATGGGAATTTATGAAGTCTTACATGAATTACATACCACTAAAATCCTCTTTCATCATTGTAATGATAAAAGAATCTTTGTCAGTGACTTAAGACATGCAAAGATGCCCCAGAAACCGTACTATGAATTAAAGAAATTCGATTTTTGACTATAAAAATGGGCTAAAATTCAAACTAAAGCACACGGGTCTTACCGAGCCTTCCCCAATATTTTTCCGTGATGTAATCTTCACATAAAGCGTTCTCGAATGCCAGATAAAACTTAAACGTTTTAAGGCAAGCCGTTAGATTTCCACAACCTCTCCGTTGCCCAAATTTTCCGGAACACCTCCCAAACACATCAACCTTGATGTATTTTCTCAGCGTTTCGACAAAAGCCTTTCGAGGTTGAGCGCCACAATTACTAACCACCCAAGCCGCAAGTTCAGTTTTTCCTTGGGAATAGTCGGGTATGTTTCTTACTTTATTCAATTTTTCTTCTTCAGTCAGTTCCTCGTAACTTCCATATGGCGACCAGAAGTCTGAATCGCTTCTGTAAGTCCACGTTGAGTTAAACAGCCCGTTTAATGGATCAGGATTTGGTGTTGCATTTGGACTTTCCCACAAAGCATATACCCAGCGCTGTGAAGTGGACCTGTTTTTCAGCAGCGTTCTTAGATGATCTACACTTGGCATGTTTCTAGCGTGAAACACGACTAAGTCGCTTTCCTCAAGCCGTTGTTTGTCGTAGGTCAATTCGAAATCACCTGAGAGACATTTATTTGCGGCAAATAAAAACTTGTTTTCAAATCCACAATCACGATCTCTTATCCACTTTGCTGTCCGGAAAAAAACAGTGTAGATGAGTAAAACTGTCTTTGTCCTTTCCCGTTGCATGAGTTGTGAGTTGTTAGTTCCAAGCAAATGTGTGTTGTTTACTTGCAAGGACGATTTCATTGTTTGCTTTGAAAAGTTACCTAGTAGGAAGTCGTCAAAAGTTAGCACGGCAAGAAGAAAAATACTGAGTCCAGAGGAGCATAAGAAACAATATTTTGACCATCTTGTCGCCATTTTAAACGATAACGAAGAAAAATATGGCGATACTGGGTACAGTGGCATATGCAAAACAGCAGAGAACTTTCACACATCGTAAGCGCTGTCGCTCAATAATATAGAGCCTAAAAGCGTCACGAACGATCCCCAAAGGACGTCTGCGGGTAGGCTGCTTCATCAGTGGAAGAGTATACATCATCAAATGACGAAGGACTCATCGTCATCAAATGACGAAAACAGGGCATAGGATAAATGGAAATTCTTGAACTCAACCGCTATACACCTTATTCTAAATGGCGGCAAATTTTGTTATAATTCCATAGTGTCGTAATGATAATTTTGACCCTCGACAACTCGTTTCAAGATATAAATTGTTTTCAATTTTGCAAGTGCAGTCAGGCGAAAAGGGCTAATATTAGCATGATATAAAAGAAAAGCAATACTTGTCTCAAGGGTAAAAATTCGCGAATCGACAGGGAAGCTGCATTTCCCAAGTTAGCCTGAACAGGTTCTTACATAAATGATAATTGGAACAAATTTAGGCTAATAAGGTTCTTTAATAGATAGCTTCTTATATTCTGAAGAAAAAAAAAAAAGAAAAAATTCTATTTTTTCTTCAGAAAATACGAACATTGACATTGTACATTATAGCGAAGAGTATTTACTGGTATTCAGCTAACTCTTACGCAATACATCTGCATACCAGCATTACATTGAAGTGGAGTGATAATCACCTGTATTTTTCCAAGTTACTCTGAAGAGGTTCTTCCATAAAAGGTAACCAACACAAATTTAGGCTATTAAAGTTCTTAAATAAGTTCTTATTTTCTGAAGAAAAGAAAAAAACCGTTTTTTCTTCAGAAAAGAAAGAAGAACAATGACAATGACACTGCACATTGCTATCCATCCCAAGGCTGGACCCAAGAAAGGCACAATAAAAATATCTCCAAATAAAACATGCTCTACAATCTTTATTTATAAATGTTGCTCTATCACCAAAGATGCATGTTCTTATTACAGCTGCAATTATACGTTTTAACCATTCAATCCGTGTTTTAACACACTGCGTAGAATACAGAAACCTTTAGGAGAAAGTCCACATTTTTAAAGGTGGAATATACCGTACTTAGTAAAGGGTACAAAGAAAGTCAGTTTTATAAGCTTTATACAGTGATTGTAGCGAATGTCAGCCATACACTGATCAATTGTACTTGCAAAAATCAACTTGGTTTCTCTTTACTTCCGTTTACTTTGATACCACAGTATCTAAAAAGGTTTAATTGATCAATGCAATGAAATCCACTCACCTTTGGCTTGTTCTCATTGGCTTCCATAATTTCCAGATCTTTCCAGACCGTACGTCGCGTGCGTGAAGCGTGGATGTTCGGTGTCAGTCTCTTTCGTCCGAGTCGGCGGTCAAATATCTCCACGTCGGTCCCACGTCGGGCGAAGAAATATTCAAATATTCCCTCCCCCGTGAGAACACAATCGATCAAATGCCCTACCCCAGGGCCAACAAAGACAATCAAATCCCCACCCCATGCCCTGCCTTCCCCCTGCCGGCTTTTCATTGATAGGTGCATAAGAGTACCAAGTGGTATTCGGCTTTTATTCCTGACATAAAATCTGCCCACCATTACGTTGCAGTACGTTGAAGTGATAAGGCACGTATGTCTCCAAAGAGGATCTTGAATTGACTTATCTCTTTTGCCTAGGAGAACAGAATTTTTTAATTAAAGATTTTAGAAAATATGAACCTGTTTCAAGTTTTAGGCTAACAAAGCCCTTGTATTTAGGGGGCCCAACGTAACTAGCAAATTTCCGCTTAACAGATTCTTGAACCAGGTTCTCTGTCTCGTGGGTTCATACTGTATTGCCCCCATTTTGAAATTAAGTGTATGGCCTGTGCTTAACACTGGGTAACAGTTTGGACATGACAGCACTGAAGATAAATTAGTAACACGACATGGTGGAATGAATGGCGAGTACTGATCATGAGTCAAACTGAGTTGAAGAAGAAGAAATACTTTGGCCACCTTCCCGCCATTTTAAACCATGGCTAACATAATATAACTTGAACTACTTTCAAAAGAAGACATCACGTCTTTACAACCTTCGACGCACGTATAAGAAATGTAAAATGTAAAAATAAAAATGCCCTAGAAGTTTTAAATCCTCGAGATATATTTCGCTCTTCGAGCCTCGTCAGTCAAGGCTCGAAGAGCGAAATATATTTCGAGGATTTAAAACTTCTAGAACATTTTTATTTTTACATTTCATTTCTTATACACCGTATTCACAAATGGCGGACACGCGGGAAAAAACTGGTGCCTAGTCATGAAAGCGAGGCGTTGGAGGGTAAACAAAAATTGCAAATGAAGACTTTCAGTGAACTTGCAGAGTGTTTAGCACGGATTCCACCTAAAATACCTTTGTACGGACTTCTTTTTAAATACAATTACGTGGGATGTCTTCTGCTTTTAATGTTTAGTATTGATTTGCTGTTTGCAATTAAAAGGGACGCGTATATCTTCAAGGAAACAGGTTGACTTTGTAGGTTTCCGAAGCATCAGAAGCTCGAAAAGTGGGCGATGGCTGGAGAAAAGCGGCAAACATGTTGGCCCAAACTTCACATTGAAACCGAGTTCGAAAGCCAGCTCACTGCAATTCGGTAAAACAGAAATATAAACAATGAAAATCTTGGTGGCAAGAAAAAAAGAAATAAGCGACGGATATATGGCCTACTTGTTAACGCAAGAGACGTGTGCCATTGAACAAAACAGTTCAAATCGAGATGGAAAAAAGGAAGAAAGGGAAGAAGCGATGACTGAGGTTTGGATGAAGTTATGTTTGGTGTTTATTTGCCAGGACGTTATTCTCTGGTCTTTATCGAAGAAGGACATCAATTAGAACTATCTTTTTGGTATAAATGCAGGAGCGATCGAGTGGAGTACGCTCAAAATTTCAACTTGTTACTCGGCAGACTCGGTAAGCCGGCCACATTTCATTTCAGCGAGCAATTTTCCTATTTCTTATCTTTAGCTGTTAAGAGTTTTAACTTCATGTTCCATAATATTTTAAAAGTGAAGAATACATAAATAAATAAAATGATGGTCTTCTTAAACGGATCCAGACTCGCATTTAATTATTCGAAACAGAAGCTTGCCGTGTTCAGTCCTGATATAAACATTGCCTTAAAAGTTTAACCTAGTAAAATGTGAGCTTTATACCACTTTTTTACCAACAGCTCTCCAAGATAATGCCGTAAAGGAGACCAGGCAAATAGCAAGCCATAAGATTCACACACTAGAGCGTCTAGTTTTGATAAAATTATTTTATTTCACAATGACAAAGAAATCAAAAGATTTTAAATTTGCACTGAATTTGCTAAGCTCTGCCAACGTACCTCTAACAATTCACTCCAAAGCGACGGAATTATAATATCATCCAAAGGAAGTTGTAAATACAGACATACATAGATATGTGTAAAATGACACTGACATGAAAGAATGAGTCTCGTGAATGAATCTTTCACCCGCTCTCGACTTGACCTGTTTTGAGTAATGGCGGAGGTCTCTTCCGTTGACAAGTAGGCCATATATCCGTCGCTTATTTCTTTTTTTCTTGCCACCAATATCTGTTTTTACTTCTGTTTTACAGAATTGCAGTAAGCTGGCTTTCGTATTCGGTTCCAGCATGAAGTTTGGGCCAACATGTTTGCCGCTTTTCTCCAGCCATCACCCACTTGTCGAGCTTCTGATGCTTCGGCAACCTACAAACCATCCTGTTTCCTCGAAGATATACGCGTCCCTTTTGATTGCAAACAGCAAATCAGTACTAAACATTAAAAGCAGAAGACGTCCCACGTCATTGTATTTAAAAAGACGTCCATACAAAGTTATTTTAGGTGGAATCCGTGCTAAACACTCTGCAAGTTCACTAAAAGTCTTCATTTGCAATTTTTGTTTACCCTCCAACGCCTCGCTTTCATGACTAGGCACCAGTTTTTTTCCGCGTGTCCGCCATTTGTGAATACGGTGTATACGTGCGTCGAAGGTGATAAAGACGTGATGTCTTCTTTTGAAAGTAGTTCAAGTTATTCGAACACATTCTTAGTCTCGGAATTTACAATTTCTCAATAACATAACGTCACATAAAGTATTTATTCAAGATGGGGAAAATAAAAATTATAAAACATCTTGAAATGGAAAAATTGGAGGTTGACCCTATGACGTTTCCCTAAACAAAAAGATAAAAAGATTAAAGCTATGTACGTTATAATTAAATAAAATAGGACATTTAAAAACTATGTGCAAAATATAAATTGGATCACTAATGATCAATAATAGCAATAGATGAACAAGACGAAGAACTATTGTAGGTTCAAAGAAAGAGTAAACTATCAAGAATATGGCTACTTAGCCTGTTCCAGGCGTACGTTCAGATAGTCAGTGGACGATGCAAGGAAAAGTGAGCCATTCTGAACATATGTATGTATGTCAGCAAGGACCTCAAAGCTAGTTTATTGGAAAATCCGCTGTAAGCTTATAAGACCGTCCTTTGTAGCATAGCGACCCTCTTGACGAAAAACAAACTCCTAAAGAAACAAAGTGCGACATCGCCGGTAGCCTTCCACGCAGACGTTCAAAGTGGTACTAGCAGAAAATAGGGAAGGTATGCCCCCCCCCCCCCCCCCCCCTAGTCTGCTACACAGCCGTTTTTAGTGTCGTCACGCAACGCTCCTCCCCACAAAGTGGGGAGGAGCATTGCATGACGACCCTAAAAAGGGCTGTGTAGCAGACTACCCCCCCCCCGCCACACTCCTGCTGAAATCAGCTGCGTTGTCATCAACTCGGGGGCAGAGGTACACGAAAACAAACGACTGCCAAATGCCTACAAGTAAATACAACAAAAATTGACAAATAAAATAAGAATTAGGTGTCCGGAATGAATGCTGACCTAGACTGATTCGAATTTGCAAGGACAACCAAACATATCTCAGAAGGCTACCCACAATTCCACCTAGCCGACCTAGTCCTCTGGTTCGTGCCGGCAAAATAGCTATTAGGGTCTGTTCCATTACACTACACTGTCAGAAATACTATTTACCTGGCTGGCGTGGGGAATTTGAACGGGTAATTTTAAGTTAAAATTCTGCACCTGGAACAGGCTAATGGCCAATGCGCATGGTCAGAGTCACAGGGCACCTGTAGACTTTTATCACGGGGCTTTTTGTAGACTTTTTATTTTTTAGTCGTTGCAGGTATCAGGGTGAACATGTCTCTCTCTTTGAGAGGCATTCACTAGCTCTTTTTGGGCTTAATTTCTTCTCTATCCTAGTGAATAACTTAGAGACAAAAATCGAAATGAAAGAAGACCTCGAGAATGACCTAATTGAGGATGAAGATGCGTGCGATGAAGTTAAAAACGACTCGAAATCCTCACACGTGTATCTTACGCAACCGAGTGATGACCTGAATAGATACATGGTCGATAAATTCCACCCGCCGACAGCAAAATCAAAGCAAGTTCCTTACGAATCCATTGATCTATCTGTACACAAGCCTTCAGCGAAATGCTTAGGATTCACCACCTCCGAATGTCGACTATTACATTGGATTACTACCTTCGGACAAAGATATCACAGCCTATTGACCGGAAATGCCTCTGGATACAAGGTAATTTGGAAAGAGCAAGACAATAATCATTCTGCCTCAAAATGTGATAAGATAGTCATTAATTTGCTTAAAGAAACAGCCTCTTCTGATGAGCTATTAGTGGCAATAACAGTATTTATAACTGTAGCGACCGCTTTTGGGTGAAGGCGGCGCGAGGGCAACATGCGTTGCAGAAATTCTGAAAGGTTCACTCCACAATGACCAAAACGTCTAACAAGATCCTTAGTTCCGTTTAATGCTGGTTCACAAGATGTTAACGGACCGAAGGGACCGTCAAAGACTGTAATGGCTATTACAACATGCTTCGTGCGAAGCCTAAAGAACTGCGTTGGGCGACGTTGCCAAAAACACTCCGCTCTCTCGTCGAGCTTACAAAAAACTGAAAACCCGGATGCGCGTGACCGGGTCACGTGTTAAACAAAACAACTGGGAAGGCGTTACATGGCTCCCCCATACATTGTGAAATGTATGACTTAACAATAAAATAAATGTCAAAATAAACTTAGTGTTCTTAGTGTTCAAGAGGGTAATTCTTTCTGCTGGCTCCCCGACGGGGTCGTACTCCGGTCTATCGAAGTTTCCTTCTGTAACTTGCATCAGTCGTCTCTTCCTTCGGACGATGAACAAGGATTAACTTGTGTACGGGTCTATCCAGAAGCTTCTTATTTCCGGATTCAGTATAGAAGAGGGAGACTTTGCGAACGAGTCCGTCATCACTGGGATAGACTTGGGTGACTCTGGCGAGAGGCCATTCATTTCTTGGGAAGAATCTTCGCAAATCAGAACAATATCATCAACTTGGACGTTAGGGACGGTCTTGTTCCACTTCTGACGCTTTTGCTGCTGTAGACAATATTCTCTTTGCCATCGGAGCCAGAATTGGTCAGCCAAGAATTGAACTCTGCGCCATCTCTTTCTGGTGTACAGATCTGGTCGAGAGAAGTTGCCAGGCGGAGGTAGTACTGCCTTCGTCTTCAGAGTGAGCAAGTGATTTGGTGTGATCGGCTCAGGTGCTTGTGGGTCTGACAAGCTGTCGGTGGTCAGCGGGCGGCTGTTCACGAGGTTTTCGGCTTCAGTGAAGAGAGTACGTAACCCTTCGTCGTCTAGCTGCGTTGACTGATCTTCGAGGAGGCCAGATAGAGAGGAGCGTACTGTTCGTATCATGCGTTCCCACACACCTCCCATGTGTGAGGAGCTGGGGAAATTCATCTTGAACTCGATGAAGTCGCATTCTTGTGTTAATAGGAAGTTCTTCACTGTGTCAGTGTTCACCTCTGCATTGAGCTCGTTTCTTCCTCCGATGAAGTTGCTTCCTTGATCTGATCTTAGTTGGCGCACTTTGCCTCTTCTGTTGATGAATCTTCTGAGCGCGTTAATGAATGAACTTGTTTCCATAGTGTTCAAGGTTTCAAGGTGTATCGCCCGGGATGAGAGGCACGTGAAGACGATGCCCCAACGTTTCAATTCCTTTCGGCCTTCCTTAATATACCATGGGCCGAAAACGTCCATACCCGTGTAGGTAAAGGGCGGTGCTTGTGTCACACGTTCTTCAGGAAGATTTGCCATCTTTTGGACTTGTGCTCGTCCGCGCAATTTGTGGCAAATGGCACAGCTTGACAGGAGATGGGAGACAACAGAACGACCGTTCACAATCCAATAACCTGCTTGCCTGATGGAGTTGTGGGTCATCCCATAACCTGGGTGGTGCTCTTTGCTGTGAAAGTGTCGGATGAGGAGATTCGTCACGTGACTCTTCTTTGGACATATGATCGGATGTTTTATGCCATAATCTAATTCGGCTTTTAGGAGTCGTCCGCCAATTCTGAGGATTCCCTTGCTGTCTAAGAAGGGGTCCAGTTTGTAGAGAGAACTTGTCTTCTTGATCGTTTCGTTCCTGGTATGAGCACTGTGGCGATCCTGGAACATACCATCTTGGTGGTTGGCATTTTGAAGGATTTGGATCTCCTTGCCGAAGTGCTCGAACTGAACTGACTTGAGAATTACTTCTTCTGCTAAGCGTAATTCTTCGACTGAAGGGGGCCGGTGTTGGGCCTTGTGTTGAACTGCCTGTTAGGGCGTCTCTGTTCTATCATTCTCTGGATGCGCACAATGCTCCTCTTTAGGCGAATGAGGGAAGATGAATGGCGAAAGCGTTCTGGTTCTAGAATACTGTGAGAGCTCTCCTTCTCCTCGCTTTTGGTTTCTTCATGGCTTGAAATGCAGACGGTGGACTTAGGTTTCTTCACTTCAACGTCTTCGTGTTGTAGATCCGCAACTTGGTCTAGGCTGATCACCGGTACTTCGCTTTCCCATAGGAATTCAGGGCCATTGAACCATAGTTCGTGTTCAGAAAGCTCTTTGGTGGTGGCACCTCTTGACGCGATATCAGCTGGGTTGTTCGGACTGCTAACGTAATGCCACTGCTGTGGGTTTGATCTGTCGCGGATGTGTTGAACACGATTTCCGACGTACGTATGGAAGCGTCTCGCGTCATTTCGAATGTACCCTAGAACGACGGAAGAGTCCGTGTAAAACAATTTCACTGGGTTACTGTAGTTAAGCTCTTGGCTGAGCATGGAGGCTACGTTAGTAGCAACCACGGCGGCGGTCAGTTCAAGGCGTGGAATTGACATTGGCTTTAGTGGCGCGACCCTAGCTTTGCCCATCAGGAAGCTGACATGTACTTGGCCTGAACTGTTTACAAGACGTAGGTAGGTTACCTGGCCGAGGCCTGTGTTGCTGGCATCGGAGAAGCTGTGTAACTCCACGGCAACTGGTTCGCCGAAATCAGGTGGCTTGAGACACCTTGCTATCTTGATCGTCTCCACAAGAGGTAGTTCGGATCTCCATTTTTCCCATTGTGAACGGATGTGGGCAGGAACTGGGTCGTCCCAGTCGATGCCTTCGCGGCACAGTTCTTGGAGCAACTGTTTTCCGACTAAGATGACAGGTGCAATGACACCAAGCGGATCATAAACTGAACTCACAGTTGATAGAATTCCGCGACGGGTGAGAGGCTTGTCCTTGAGCTCAATTCGAAATCCAATGGTATCAGACTGGATGCACCAATAGGTACCTAAGGATCGTTGGACAGGTAAGACATCGTGACGTAGATCGAGGTCCTTCAAGTCCTTGGAACGATCTTCAGCAGGTAAGGCTTCCAGCACAGTCTCACTGTTGCTGGCAAACTTGTGCAGGCGTAGGTTGACTGCTGCGCACATGGCTTGGGTATTCTTGATGACATTGATTGCTTTAGCTGGTGTGGCGAAAGATTTCAACCCGTCATCTACGTAGAAGTCGTTCTTCAAGAAGTCTGCGGCCTCATTGCCAAACTGTTCTCTGCCGGCTTCTGCTGTCATTCTGAGACCGAAATTAGCAACTCCTGGGGAGGAGACTGCCCCGAAAAGGTGGACGTTCATGCTGTACTCTACGATTTGACTCTCTAAGTTGTTATCCTTGAACCACAGAAATCGTAGAAAGTCTCTGTGTTCGGGCTGACGTGAAAACTATGAAACATCTGTTCAATGTCGCATGTCACTGCTGTCTCTTCCTTTCGAAACCGCGAGAGCACACCAACGAGGGCATTCATCATGTCAGGGCCCTGTAGCAGATGTTTGTTGAGAGACTCGTTGTGGAAGATGGCACTGCAGTCGAAAACGATTCTAATTTGGTCAGGTTTCTTGGGGTGATAAATGTCAAAATGAGGCAAGTACCACACCTTTCCTGTGGCAGTCTTGAGTTGATCTGATGGGACGAGACTGGCGTGGTTCTTGTTAAACATTTTCTGCATGAACTCAGTATATTGCTTCAAAACCTTGCCATTCTTGAGAAGTTTTCTTTTTATGCCTAGTAGCCTGTTTAGGCATTGTTCTCGGTTGTTCGGCAGACTCAACTTGTCTGTCCTCAGTGGTAGCGGCATTTCCCAATTGCCCAGTTCATTTGTATGGATGCTTGTGGTAAGAAGATCATTGAAACGTCTGTCCTCGACAGACTCGGTGTTCTCAGTGCCTCGGATGGTTCGGCTATGATGTAGTTCACTGTAATCCAATTGCATCATTTCTCTTATCTGCTGGGGCGTAGTGACATCCTTAGATTGATGTTTGGAAGCGAAAGAGGCTACGGCCTCTTCTCTGGAACTGTTGCTCGTTGGAACATTGAAGAGGTTGTGAGAATCTTCTCGTCGTACGGTGATGCGGTTAACTGTTGCACAAGCCGTACTGTCTTGTTGGTTGTCTAGACAAACTGGACCGATGATCGTCCAGCCGAACTTGTACTCTTCAGCCCACGGCTCATTGTCTTTGCCGTATATAACGTGTAATGGCTGAAAGGCAGATGGGATGTTACGACCGATTAACAATCCTATCTCTACTCCGGGATGATAGTGGATGTGGTGGGCGATCTCCTTAAGGTGCGGCCAGAGTTGGGCAATGTTAGGCGTGGCGATGTCCTGATGGCTAGCTGGAATTTTCTCTTGTGAGTATGCAAACGGAATCCTAATAGAATTGTGTCGACTGTCTGTGTCCTTGATGTGCAATCCGTTTACTTTCTGAGTACGCACAGTGTTCACGCCCGCAATCGTACTGATATTGAGGTTAACTTCCTGGCCTTTGACCTGCAACTGGTCGAGAAGAGTGTCTGTGATGAAGACATCTGTTGACTGGTCATCCAGAACTGCATAGGTCAGCATCCTTGCTGAAGGGTTGTCTTGATGGAAGACTTCGACGAGAACTATTCTAGCGCATGAACGAGCAGAATGCCCTTGATTGCAGACTCGTGAGCAAGCAGACCTCGCTTCACTGGCATTAATCACTTTGTGCCTGGATGGGTCATGCAGTACAGTGGCATGTTTCTGTCGACATATCTTGCAATCTAGCCTGTCTTGTTCGCAGTCTCTGGCAACATGTTTGTTGGAATTAACACACTTGAGACAGACTTTGTTTTTCATTAGGAAATCTCTGCGTTCTTCGTATCCTAATTTCTGAAACTGTTCGCAATCGTTCATGCTATGAGACTTCATCTTGTGATAGAAGCAATACGTGTTAGCCGCAGTAGCTTTGGTAGTGTCCGGTTGCTGAGCATGGGTTGAAAGCACATTGGAGATTTCTATTGGTTCTTCGTGATTAGCATTTGTCTCGCCATTGTTACTGGGGGTGAAGTGGAGGTCAGATTAACAGCTGGAGGACGCAGGCGGGGTTGGCGGTTCAAAGGTTTGAAACGGTCTGTCTGTGGTGTACCACTTGAACCTGAAGCTTGAACAATTTGAGGTATGTTGACACGCTCAGCGTGGTAACGCACTTCTTGAGCGAAGTCTGCAAATGAAGGGAATGTGTCCTTGCCTTCTTTCTTCTGAAGTTTCAGCACTTTATCAGACCATTTGGGCTTGAACCACGATGGCAGCTTTTCGACAAGACTTTGAATCTGTGACGGGTAATTAAGGACTTGGAGACTCAAAATGTGTTCGCTTGCAATCTTCACCTGTTGAAGGAAGTCACTGAATTCTTCTAAGGCTGCTGCATCGTTCGGTCCCACCTTTGGCCAGGTTGTTAATTTCTTCTGAAAACTGGTACTGATTATTGCTGGGTGGCCAAAACGTTCCTTGAGGATTGTGCGGGCTTGTTGATACGCACTTTCAGGGTTCTGCACTAAGTACTGAAGCTGCTCTACCACTTTTTTGGCTTTGCCATCCAAATATTGGTACAAGAAGTGTAGTTTCTGTTGGGCTGTCACTGGTGCTGAATCAATCAGACTATCAAAAGAATTCTCCCACAGGAAGAATTTAGTCTTGTCAGTCTCATCACCCTTAAAAACATCTGGCGTGGCTTGAGGGAGGCGTTGTAGCTGACTGATCTTGGCTAGGGTGTCAGTTAGTTGCACTGAATAATCTTGGGGTGCAGGGGAGTAGGCTGTATATGACGATGGTACAAACGCTGGAAAATTTCCGCAAAAACCTCTTGGAGGTGTGAGTCCAATTTGGGACATAGTACACGCAGGCGATGTGTAAACTGGAGGAGCTTGTCCTCTTAAGCTGAAGGTGGTTGCAGTGGTAGAGTGTGAGATTCGATTGGTTGATCCTTGAGGGCCTTGATTCAAAGATACAGATACAACGTCAAGTGGTGTGGACGATGACGTCACTGTCACTTTAGTCACTGGTGTTCTAGTGTCAAAGAGCGTTGTAGCAGGCGCACCCGGTGTAGACGTATATTCGTCAGCATTATTGCTGGCAATAAAGGTGGAAATTGGATCATAGGTTTCTGTCGGCAGTGCAGGCGACTGCAGACAGTTTTCTTCTTGCATTGCTTTTTGGTAGACTTGCTCTTGTGCAGTGACTTCTCCAAGTTCTTTTTGTATTTTCAACTGTTCCAGTTTCTGTTTTTGTTCGGCAATAACTGCTGAAAACTTCAACGTTTCTTCTAGGGCTGCTCTCTTAGCTCGAAATTCAAGCAGGGTCTCCTTGCAAGAACTTCTACTTGATCCCGACCCTTTCGAGACTCGTGAACGGTGGGACCTTTGAGATGTGATAGAGGCTGCAACATTTTGTAATTTGTCAATTTCTTTCACGGCTGTATCATGAACTGCTTTCCATGTGTCAAGCAGATAAGCTTGTTTACTTGTGGCCTGATGAGTTTCATCCGAATCATCTGATAGCTCTATCCATTGGTCAAAACTTTGTAAGACAATGTCTAACTCCTTGATCAAAGCTGAAATATCTTCCTTAATTTCCTTAGGATCTTTGCCTGAGAGGATTTGCTCTTTAAAAGTGTCTAATTTAGAGCGAAACTGACGGTCGTTATCTATCGCAGCGCTTCTCTTCAAGCCACATTTGTATTCCCGCCCTTTGGCCGTGAGGGTCCTGGGCCTAGTGTTACTCGAATCGACAATAATGTCGGCATTTGTAATCGATGAAATTTCCTCTATTTTTGGACGTAAAGACACATTATCCGGTAAAATAACAGATGAGCTAACCTCAGTCTTTGTTGAGTCGACGATTTCTTCGTGAGCTGGGCTTGAGGTGTGTTTTTTTGCGCTCTTCTCGATGAGAAATTCCTCTGGTCTCGACACGAAGGTTAGCCCGAGTCCGGTATCCTCGTGTTTATCATCGAATTTTGCTGAATCCATGGTAAAGTTCCTCGGCGTAAATACAATTCGTTGGAGTTCCTCAGATTAAACAGGAGTCTTCAAAGTTCCTTGAGGTAAATACGAGTCTTTGACTGTAGCGACCGCTTTTGGGTGAAGGCGGCGCGAGGGCAACATGCGTTGCAGAAATTCTGAAAGGTTCACTCCACAATGACCAAAACGTCTAACAAGATCCTTAGTTCCGTTTAATGCTGGTTCACAAGATGTTAACGGACCGAAGGGACCGTCAAAGACTGTAATGGCTATTACAACATGCTTCGTGCGAAGCCTAAAGAACTGCGTTAGGCGACGTTGCCAAAAACACTCCGCTCTCTCGTCGAGCTTACAAAAAACTGAAAACCCGGATGCGCGTGACCGGGTCACGTGTTAAACAAAACAACTGGGAAGGCGTTACAATAACGACGGGCAGAATCCTTGTACAAGGAAAAGGCCATGAAGACTGGAGTAAACATGAGTTTCCGGTTCTCCTGGACATTGTAAACCAACTGAGCTCCCTGAAGAGTTTTTCCAGTATCTCTTCAGTGGAAGATAAATCAATTTTTACCGGTTCTGTTCACAACTTCTTTGGAAATGCGATCCATTTTGTTCCTGATGACGACATCCCATCTTTGAGCCAAGGCGTAGACATCGCAAATGGCGGAACTCCACCCCTCGTTCTCGAGTCTCTCAAAATTACACCGAAGCGTTTAGGCACAATTTCCTCGTTGAGAGACACACTCGCACAACTGGAAGTTGACTTTACCCAGTTTAGAATGATATGCTCTGGTGACATTGAACAGATGAAGGACAAAATGACGCAACAAAACAATCTCTTGAAACTTCAAAAACAATTAACTGCAGACGTTTCGACTGAGCTGTCTTCCCACATGACGTCATTCCAAGATATTGTTTCACAACAAACAACTCTAATCAAGAAACTGCAAGAGGAAAACCAGTCTCTCCAAAAGACACAAGCCAAACTCTTAGCAACAAATTCACAGTTACAAGAGCAACACGCTCCGTATGTTGTGGGACCACTCCACGGGTACCTCTGAACCAGCTCAGGAGATCTCTCGTGACTCAACGACCTCAGAGAGTGTTCACGGAGAAACTGTAGAAAAATCATTAACAGAAGACGAAACCTTGCTCCTCGTTAATATCCCGACCGAAAATCGCTTCTCCCCTCTTCAGTCATCAGCTGCAAGACTTACCAGAAATGAACCTGACATTGATAGAGCTTCGGTTCCTACTCAGGAAAATACCATAACGACAAATCACAATGGAAACGAACCAGCTTCTGAAGACGATCTACCTCCTAACGTTAAAATCGTAAACACCTCTTATCCACCACATCCACCTAGTGCTGTAAAATCAAACACTGCGGTTTTCTTATGTGACTCAAACGGCAAATTCCTTGATAAGAAGAAACTCTTCCGGCCAAATCAAGAACTGACGTTTTTTAGATGCCCCAGGCTCGAGAATGCACGATCCATTCTTCAAAATGATCTTCACGAGATCCCAGAAATAATTTTAATTCACACGGGCACAAATGATTTAACAGCTACAACTTCGATTCATGTTTTTATCTCAGAGTTTTGCAACCTAATCAAAGAATCAGCAAGTAAATTCCCTATGAGCAAAATCATATTCTCAACACTTCTACCACGTGCTGATATACCTCTGCAAACCCTTATACAAATCAATAGACAGCTCATCAGCGAATGCTCCAAATTACCCGACGTACATGCCGTATTGCATGAAAATATTTTCTCCAAAGAATTAAAGGATGTACTACATGATGAAAGGCATCTAAAGAAACGCCCCATTGGTCTCTTTGCCGCTAATCTAGTGAATACAATCCGCGGTAGAGCTAAACAACCACGTCCTTTCCAGAAACAAGTGCCACACTCGCCGCCGCCATATCACCGTGGTAAATTCAGTTCTTACAGCGCTGCTGTCAAGAATCCTCAGAACACTGACCTTAAGCAGCACCCGTCACCATTACACTCTCACGGTGAACCAAGACCCCCCCGGCAACCTATGAACTGGGAGGTGGACAACCACCAGTACTCGCACTTTCAAAGGCAGCAACAACCGCCCGCGCTACAGATACCTCCTCACTTCACTACAGGCTGGCAGATGCACAGTAAACCTCACCAGGGTAAAGACTCTCATGTTGAACTCCCTCAGGAACTTATATCTTTTTTTAGAATCATTAAATCCTTACTCTAAATAATACCTAATTATTTACTAGGATACGATTAGAACATGCCATAAGATATCATTAATGTTGGCAGATTGCTCGAATCGCTCCGGCCCGACTGGTAGTCTGTCGTTCTTTTCGTGGAACATCAATGGGATCTTTGCTAAACCCCTTGGTGATAAATTGCAAAATAATGAATGTTTGAATTTGATAAAAGGGGGGAATTTCATATATCCCATGATGCATCGCTTCATACTATATTATCAAGCTTTCGAACGCACGTGATCCATCAGTTCAACAGGGACGCTACAGTTGAACAACGGCGGAAAGCGACTTGTTTTGCCGATAAAACCTTCTGTACCTTTGCTGTGTCGATCTATTTACGATTTTCGTTCTACTATTCCAAATATATCTCTTGTTAAGTCAAAGAGAGTGTTTGGCCGCCTATTATTAGTTAACTACTGTAACTGCACAGGGGCACCCAACGAACATTTTTCTGAAAATGAGCCGTTAACTACAGAAAACGAAAATTTAGATGCTTTTAAAGCATTTTCAAGCGCTTTTCTGTGTTGCTGGAAAGAATTTATCTGTTCCTCACTCCCAGCAGGTTAGATGGCTATTCTCCCAGCCAGCAGAGTGGCCTTCTCCATGTTTACGAGCCAGCAGAAAAAAAAATCTGTATTCAAATAAGCGCCGCAGGGTTGCTTGGAAATTGCGGCGCTGATTCGAGTATATACGGTCAAAATAAATAACACACAGCCTTATCTCTCGCTTGTCAACCAAGAATAACAACAACTACAATGGTAATGAAAAAGGAACGTCACTAAGCCTTCCCTAGATGTACCTTTTGTGAATCCTATTCAGTCCAACTTGAATATAATACATCAGGCTGTTTAATAGGTCCTTACCTTTTGCATAAACATGAATCTCATGAATCGTCCTAACCGCCAGTGAACCGTTGCCAGTTATCCAGTGGCGGAACGTAGCCTAATTTCGAATTTCTAACAACGGTGCCCACGTGCAGATTTTTTGATCAGCGGTAAATAAATAATCAGCGCGCACAATTCGCGCACATAGAGGAGCCACCTGAGAGGAGCCGATTACTCCTGATACCCAGCTGGATATACACCCAAGAAAAATTTCTAACAAATCAGAGGGATATAATATCTCCAGCAAGAATTTTTGATACATTTGATAAATTCTTGACCGCAGATTTAAGACTTTACTTCTCAGTAGAACAGCCGAAACCTCAGTTCCCAGCCAGCAAAATTTTCTCTGTAGAACAGATATTGTGAGGAACAGATCCGTTGGGTGCCCCTGACTGCAAGGCAGTCCACGCAAATGTTCTTATAGGCAAGCGAGGAAGGTCTTTGCTTCAGTACGTCCTGTATTAACGTGCGTTGATAAAGCTCTCCATGGATTTACAAGCGATTTCTACGTACTTATCTCGAAGTAAATACATATCCTAGGTGTGAGATTTCTCTTTGTTGCTTGTTTGTGATCGCGGTTCTCATATAATTGTCAGTTCAATAATTCATCGATACAGGACATCAACCGTTCGTTGACCGCGTTTACTTCAACAAGCTCGGCTTATGCTGTCGAAAATACCGAGACCGTTACAGTACAAAGTGACGTCTACCGGAGATAAAATTCAAAGGAAGGGAATAGCTCCAACAAACGATAAAAATAACAAAGACATCACTATATTTTTCGTAACACAACACCAGCTAAGTGAAGCTAAGCATTCGTCAAACATAAACAGAAAAAAGCTTTATTAAGCAATGGCAAAATATATATACAAGAACACCCACTTCCTCTTTACAATGGATCCTAAAAGAATTATCAAAATGTCTTTAAAGGTTTTATACGCCGGTTGAGGTCCTACGGCGTGCTATTCCGTGACATTTGCTGGCCTGTATATTTCAAGTTCGCCTCGCGCGGTTGCGACCGGAAGCCACCATGAGAAACCAATATTTTACCTAAAATAATGAGGCAAAAAAGCTTTAATACTATACACCAGTGAATTTAAACACTCATCATACCCTCAAGAGATAATACTTGAGTTTTGATCAGCGAAAAAAGAGCGAATTCAAGAAAAAATGCCCCATCTTCGCAGGACTTAGCATAACGAAACTGAAACGTTCGCCTTGCATCTTGGAGAAAGGGCAGAAAATGCGATATTTCAAAACGATCAAACCCATAAAAATCGCGAGGTCGAAAGAGGTCGGAGGGTGGAATTACTATCAAGCATCCCTTGTCCGCCGATTTAAATAATTTATTGGGGCAAAACCTTTCTAGAATAAAGACAGTTTTCGATAATTGAAAGTCATCTAAATAAATATTCACTTGCGAGTTAAAACAGCGTGGTTTAACAGGGTGGTAAACGAGAGCAATAATGCGTGAAATGACTTTCGAAACATTTTACATTATCAATCAGATACCAAAGATTAACAGGACTCATTGAAACTTACCTTGGATGAGCTGCATCTTGAAATACAGGTCGTTGAAAATCTCCCTCGAAACCCTCGAACGCTCTTTCCACCGCGAAGAGAAGACAGAAGCTAGCCGCGAAGCATCATGGGATATATGAAATTCCCCCCTTTAATTTGATATGTCAATTTGATTTCGTGATTCTTTGTGAGACCTGGAAGGAGACGATTATCGATGTGACAGGATATCGATCGGTAGTTTCAGGTACCTCAAAATTAGGAAACAATGGTCGCAACTCAGGAGGAGTTGCTTTACTCTACAAAAATGAACTCCATAATTGGGTATCAATGGAAAAAATAACTTCGAACTTTCTGTGGTTCAAAATTAGCAAACAGTACGTAAAAACCTCAAAAGATATTTATGTTTGTGGCGTCTATATTCCGCCTAACGGCTCAAAATACTTTCTCCCTGAAATGTTTGAAGATCTTGAAAACGACATTGAAACTTTTTACTCTCAAGGATCGATTCTTCTCATGGGTGACTTTAATTCTAGAACAGGAAAATATTCGGATTGTGTAAGCCAAGAAGGAAACACCATTATTACCAATGATCAGTCCCATCTTTCTTCAGGCTCCACTCATAGAAATAGTTTTGACAACAACATTAACAATCACGGCAAACGCCTTCTTGAAATCTGCAGAAGCGCAGATCTTAGAATACTTAACGGTAGAGTTAGTGGAGACTCCTTAGGAAGAGTCACATTTCATGGAAAGGCTGGAATAAGTGTCGTTGATTATGCCATATGTGATCAAACGTTATTTTCACACATACTAAACTTTATTGTTAAAGAGCCCACGTATTTATCGGATCATAGTCCACTGGTGACCTGGTTATGCACTGACACCGATATTCGTAATCAAGATCCTTCACCAGAGAGTGATACTTTAACACGATTACCAAAACAATTTATGTGGGAAAGTGACTCTACACCAAAATTCAAAGCAGCTCTTCATTCTCCAAATTTGCAAATGATAATTCACGAATATTTAAATGACATCAATTCAGCTAAAAATGTTAACACCTCCGCGGAACAGGTAGAAAATATTCTTATCACAACGGCAAAACGATGCCTTAAGATAAGAACGACGAGACGACGTAAACGCACCTATTCACGCTCAAATAAAAAATGGTTTGATAAGGAATGTCGCTTAAAAAGACACGAATTAAGGAAATTGTCAAATGAAAAACACAGAGATCCCTTAAATACCACTCTACGTGAAAAATATCATATTGTTTTACAGCAGTATAAGAAACTACTCGCACATAAAAGAAATGAATATTACAACAATAAACTCTCAGAATTAGAGGATACAACGTACAATTTGGATACTAAAAAATTTTGGAATTGCTTAAAATCAATGGATGACACTATAAAATACAAAGACAGTCCACCAATTGCAGAAGAGAATTGGATGAATTATTTCCAGTGTCTACATTCTAATAAGCCACTTACTTCTGAGCAACAGAAAGTTGTCAATGAGTTAAGAACACGAGAAGACGTCTTAATGCAATCACGACCTCTAGATTACTTCATAACAGAAGCTGAAATAAGCAAAGCAGCAAGAAAATTAAAGAATAACAAATCTGCATACTCCGACAAAATAAGAAACGAAATGATTAAAGCTAGCTTACCAACACTGCTACCTGTTTACCATAAACTTTTTAATACTGTTCTTAACTTAGGAACAGTGCCTAAAAATTGGTGCAACGGTCTTATAACTCCCATATTTAAATCTGGCGTAAGAAATGACCCATCAAATTACCGCGGGATTTGTGTTTCTAGTTGTCTAGGAAAGTTGTTCTTTTCAATTTTAAACCAAAGACTTCTTGAACACGTCACTTCGCTGAACATACTCCATAAGTCTCAAATCGGCTTCTTACCTAAAAAATCGAACATCAGACCACCTCCTAACATTACGAACTCTTATAGACAAGTACGTACACTGTCACGGTGAGAAAGTATACGCTTGTTTTGTTGACTTTAGAAAAGCCTTTGACTCAGTCTGGCATGACGGACTTTTATATAAATTATTACAAATTGGTGTAGGGGGATGTTTCTATAAGTTAATCCAAAACCTATATTCAAACTCTTCGTGTGCATTGAAAATAGGTACGAGTCAAACAAAATCTTTTAGCTTCTCACGGGGCGTACGCCAGGGCTGTATTTTAAGCCCCTTACTTTTCAATTTATACGTTAATAACTTACCGTCCGCATTTCAAAATACTTTATCAGACCCTATCATCCTTCCAAATGGTACCAAATTAAATTCGCTTTTATATGCTGATGATTTAATTATTATATCACGATCTAAAATCGGATTGCAGAACTGTCTCAACACATTATCCTCTTTTGCAACTCTTGGATGTTAGATATAAATTCCAAAAAAGACCAAAGTTATGGTCTTTCAAAAACGAGCGAAGAAAAACTCCAATCTAGAATTCCATATAGGTAAAGAAACCATTGATACTGTCCATGAATATACATATTTAGGAACCCGTATCTCCTCAACCGGTAATTTTAATATCTCCCTCGAACACTTGAAGGAGAAGGCTCTTCATGCTCTTTTTTTTAGTTTAAGAAAACACACAAACTTTAGCAAATTAAAACCTTCTCTTGCTTGCAAAATATTTGAAACGATGATTTCCCCGATATTATCATATAATAGCGAAATTTGGGGTGTATATGTAAAACATGATTTTAAAGCTTGGGACAATACCCCAATTGAAAAAACCCACTTGAAATTTTGCAAGCGTTACCTAGAAATAAGCAATAGAGCTTCAAATGTTGCAAGTAGAAGTGAATTGGGACGGTTCCCATTAATTATTAATATTTATAAAAACATCCTTTATTACATATTGTATCTTCTGCGTAAAAACGAGGATACTATTGTTAAACAAGCCTTTCGTACTTCGCTAGAACTTCACTGTAATGGTAAAAATAGCTTTTACAATAATCTTATCAAAATATCTGAATATTATGACCTCCCTGATTTTGATCCTAATAATTTAAGTGAAGCTAAGATCAAACACTATATAGATATAATAAAACAAAAATATATTGCATATTGGCAACATACAATCCATCATTCTAAGAAACTACAATTTTACAGCTTATTTAAACATGATTATAAAATTTCAAGTTATCTAGACTTAATTAGAAATTCTGCGAATAGGAAAGATTTAGTGAAAATTCGTATAAGTAACCACAAACTCATGATTGAAACTGGAAGATATAATCAAACTTCCCGCAACGATAGACTCTGTCCTATTTGTAACTCTGGTATAATTGAAGACGAATTTCATTTTCTCTTCCATTGTCCAAAATACTCAATCCCAAGGGAGAAATTCTAGATCAAATCCAACAAAATTTTGTCGATTTTGATCAGCTATCTTACACAGAATTAATAATTAAATTGATGAATTCACAGAATTTTTCCGTAAATTCACATTTGTTGAAATTTGTCTCATTATGTAATGATTTACGTAATAATTTGTTATCAAGTCATGCTGATGACACTTGATTGACTACAGTCATCATTGCATTATCATTGTTATGATTTGTTTGTTTGTTTGTTTGTTTGTTTTTTTATATTAAAGCTTTTGCAATACTGTAACTACATAATTATAGTCATGCAAATAAAGCTTATGTTGTTGTTGTTGTTATCTTTTCGGCGCGATACAGACTCCCCTGCGAATACAGTCGCCTCTGATCGCCTGACTCGTTACGCCCCTGCTATGAAAAAAGCGAAGAGTAATTAAGTATCAAAAGTCTGCTTCCCAGCCGTTCATTTTTGTCGTCACGCAACGCTTCTCCCTGAAAACAGCTGCTGAGAACCCGTTAGTTGGGAGGAGCGTTGCTTGACGACACACTGAGAACGGCTGTGAAGCAAACTCCAACAAAGTGTTTCTTCTAAATTTTAAAAAAGTATCTTCTCCAGCTGACCTAAGCATGTCATGATTGTGACATTTCTTTGCACGTGAAAGGACTGTAAATGTGTAGTAACATTGTTAATATGACCATTTCTGAGGTATTATTCTTCCTTCCACATATTTGCGATTAGATCGTTTTTCTCATTACATCGTCCATTCTTCACCCAGTGCGTTCCGAGGTCATCGTAAACTTTGGGTTCAAGCGGAGCTTTTGCAACATACCATTTACATATTTGACACATTGATAAATCAAGGTTACTGCGAAACACCTTGTATTTTAGTCTCCATTTAAAGTATTCATTATAAGCAGTGTTATTTTTGTCCAGATACTGAAGGTACTCTGCCAGTTGTTTAACAGTTTTGAAGTCCATAACATTGATGTAAGACCTCGGAATAGCCAGCTTGGAGTAATTAGCACCTCCCATCACAACTGGGATGACATTCATATCACCTGGAATAAAAAAAATTAAACTAATCATGATCAAAAAACTACCAAAGCTGAGCAATATTTAAATGGCAGATGCCCATGGCTGAAATACTATTTACTATATTAAAGCGCCTGTATCATGGTTCGTAGTCTAGTCAAAGCGAAGGTAAATACCGGTACTTGCAAAATCCAAAAAGTCAAAAAAGCAGAAAAAAAGGGAAATTTGAAATGCTGTTAAGCTAACAAGTTTTTAACAAGAGCGAGCCCATACAAACTGATTGACCCTTCGTATGTTTAAACTGGGTAGAGAAAAATAAAGGTGTTTTTGCCTGAAAACTCAAAAGGTCTCTTTCTTGTAGCTGAAAATGGCTAATTTTTAATTGCGCAGATACGCTCAGGTAGGTTTCAAAATATATAACGCAAAACCCTTCAAATCGTTAAAATTCACCATCGTTTCCTACTGAAAAAAAGAATATAGGGAATTTTAGCAACTACGACGGCAACGATGGCGACATTTTTACTTAAAAACTAAGGGAAATCTTGCTGTTTGAAACCTCATCGCTCTTACTCGATCTCGTTCAATTCTTCAAATGTTGGCTGCGAATTTTTCTGGAGTTAAATTCTGTATATCGAAGCACAGAACTAAAAAAGAGAAATACAGTCGAAACTCTCCTTGCGACCACTCTCGTGAGCGACAGGCTCTGTTTGCGACCACCTTTGTGACACCCAGTTTGAACTGTGACTTAGGCCCGGTTCAGACGCCGAACTTTTCATGAGCCGAACCTAATTCGAATTAAGGCCGACCCATATTATTAAGACCGGCTGAATTGATTCTGACGCCGATCTTAATTGCAGCCGAACTAAGTTCAAAAGGCGAAAAATGCTCATTTCGGTCAAACTGCTTACAAAATACGTTATATAAATAATTTATGCATTAGGTTCGGTACATGAAAAGTTCGGCGTCTGAATCAAATCCTTTCCTAAGTCGCTCCAAAGGCGAAATTTCCGGCCGAGCTGGGCGAAAAGAACGGCCTAGCCGTTCCAAATTGAAACAGGCGTTCGTAATTGATTCAGACGCCGAACTTTTCATGTACTTAATTCAATGTATTAGGTTCGGCTCATGAAAAGTTCGGCATCTGAACCGGGCCTTACAGCTGATTTCAGTGCTGTGTATACACCCTGATTTTTAGACATGATTCGACGGTCATGATTCGACCGTCATGATTCGACCGAGAGGTTACCAAGCAGCACAGTATTTTACCTTGAATATCCTACATCCCTACAGGAATCAAAGCACACAATCTGAAAGTTACTTTACAGCTGATTTCAGTGCTGTGTATACACCCTGATTTTTAGACATGATTCGACGGTCATGATTCGACCGTCATGATTCGACCGAGAGGTTACCAAGCAGCACAGTATTTTACCTTGAATATCCTACATCCCTACAGGAATCAAAGCACACAATCTGAAAGTTACTTTAATGATAGCTTGACGGTTTCTCTTGTAATTCAGAAAAAGAGGACTGTGATCCATAATTTGTTCTCCTTTCCAGACAACAGCCTCTCATACAAGTCACGCAATCTAATCGCAATACATGTTATCGTGCGTGTGGAAGTCTCGATCAATACGTTTTTCGGCTCTTTTCTCAACTTTTTTTGGGCTTCTACCTTGATCTTTAAAGAAATATCATAATTTACCCTTTTTCAATGAAAACAAATGTTGCTTTCTTTTATGTATGGTTTTCTTTATTTGTTCTTGACTAGGGTCATAGGTCGAGGACCGCACATTGTGATATTTTTCAATGGTCGACAAAACAAAACTTTCAAACTCTCAAGCAAATTCTTTCACAACGGCAGACTGATCAATTTATCTGTTGATTTCATCTGCAAAACATCAAGTTTTCCTGTCATTTTTTAACCATGCAGAAGCTAAGTAAGGACGAAAAAGTACCAACTTGAAGAAACACAAATTTGCCAAATTTACTGCGGGTGGTATTCACCAACGGCGAAATACCGAGACTTTTGTCATACGGAAGAAGACTAAACGATAAACCATCGGACTATTTCGCTTTTCGCCGTATTGATAATATTTCGTCCATTATGAAATCGCCTACAGAAATACATTCGAACTCGGCAATCGAACTCCAGGTTTATCACTTGATGACATGTTATCATAATTTCTGTATCATGTCGCCGCTTTCCAGGCAACAAAGCTTTCCTCTTCAGGTAAAACGCTTTTGCCGGGATTCTAGCTTCGTAACACTTATGTCCTTTAGTGCTAAGCTTTCCTTGCCAGCCATATTTTTCTCTCACTGTTTTGGATCCCACGGCAGAACACTCAATTATTTTTGCAACCGTTTACTTGCTCCGAGGCGATACGTCACGTGATTAGTGTCGAATCATGACAGGTCGAATCATGACCGTCGAATCATGTCTGAAAATCCGGGTGCATACATAGCAATGAAATCAGCTGTAATGATAGCTTGAATTTTTCTCTTGTAATTCAGAAAAAGAGGACTGTGATCCATAATTTGTTCTCCTTTCCAGACAACAGCCTCTCATACAAGTCACGCAATCTAATCGCAATACATGTTATCGTGCGTGTGGAAGTCTCGATCAATACGTTTTTTTTCGGCTCTTTTCTCAACTTTTTTTGGGCTTCTACCTTGATCTTTAAAGAAATATCATAATTTACCCTTTTTCAATGAAAACAAATGTTGCTTTCTTTTATGTATGGTTTTCTTTATTTGTGCTTGACTAGGGTCATAGGTCGAGGACCGCACATTGTGATATTTTTCAATGGTCGACAAAACAAAACTTTCAAACTCTCAAGCAAATTCTTTCACAACGGCAGACTGATCAATTTATCTGTTGATTTCATCTGCAAAACATCAAGTTTTCCTGTCATTTTTTAACCATGCAGAAGCTAAGTAAGGACGAAAAAGTACCAACTTGAAGAAACACAAATTTGCCAAATTTACTGCGGGTGGTATTCACCAACGGCGAAATACCGAGACTTTTGTCATACGGAAGAAGACTAAACGATAAACCATCGGACTATTTCGCTTTTCGCCGTATTGATAATATTTCGTCCATTATGAAATCGCCTACAGAAATACATTCGAACTCGGCAATCGAACTCCAGGTTTATCACTTGATGACATGTTATCATAATTTCTGTATCATGTCGCCGCTTTCCAGGCAACAAAGCTTTCCTCTTCAGGTAAAACGCTTTTGTCGGGATTCTAGCTTCGTAACACTTATGTCCTTTAGTGCTAAGCTTTCCTTGCCAGCCATATTTTTCTCTCACTGTTTTGGATCCCACGGCAGAACACTCAATTATTTTTGCAACCGTTTACTTGCTCCGAGGCGATACGTCACGTGATTAGTGTCGAATCATGACAGGTCGAATCATGACCGTCGAATCATGTCTGAAAATCCGGGTGTATACATAGCAATGAAATCAGCTGTAAAAACAAAGGAAAAGTCCGGTTAGGTAATCCCAAAAATGATCGCGGTCACTTACGGGAACGGTCGCTTACCAGAGCTTTTCATTACAAAGTTTACAGCTGATTTCATTGCTATGTATACACCCGGATTTTCAGACATGATTCGACGGTCATGATTCGACCTGTCATGATTCGACACTAATCACGTGACGTATCGCCTCGGAGCAAGTAAACGGTTGCAAAAATAATTGAGTGTTCTGCCGTGGGATCCAAAACAGTGAGAGAAAAATATGGCTGGCAAGGAAAGCTTAGCACTAAAGGACATAAGTGTTACGAAGCTAGAATCCCGGCAAAAGCGTTTTACCTGAAGAGGAAAGCTTTGTTGCCTGGAAAGCGGCGACATGATACAGAAATTATGATAACATGTCATCAAGTGATAAACCTGGAGTTCGATTGCCGAGTTCGAATGTATTTCTGTAGGCGATTTCATAATGGACGAAATATTATCAATACGGCGAAAAGCGAAATAGTCCGATGGTTTATCGTTTAGTCTTCTTCCGTATGACAAAAGTCTCGGTATTTCGCCGTTGGTGAATACCACCCGCAGTAAATTTGGCAAATTTGTGTTTCTTCAAGTTGGTACTTTTTCGTCCTTACTTAGCTTCTGCATGGTTAAAAAATGACAGGAAAACTTGATGTTTTGCAGATGAAATCAACAGATAAATTGATCAGTCTGCCGTTGTGAAAGAATTTGCTTGAGGGTTTGAAAGTTTTGTTTTGTCGACCATTGAAAAATATCACAATGTGCGGTCCTCGACCTATGACCCTAGTCAAGCACAAATAAAGAAAACCATACATAAAAGAAAGCAACATTTGTTTTCATTGAAAAAGGGTAAATTATGATATTTCTTTAAAGATCAAGGTAGAAGCCCAAAAAAAGTTGAGAAAAGAGCCGAAAAACGTATTGATCGAGACTTCCACAAGCACGATAACATGTATTGCGATTAGATTGCGTGACTTGTATGAGAGGCTGTTGTCTGGAGAGGAGAACAAATTATGGATCACAGTCCTCTTTTTCTGAATTACAAGAGAAACATTCAAGCTATCATGAAAGTAACTTTCAGATTGTGTGCTTTGATTCCTGTAGGGATGTAGGATATTCAAGGTAAAATACTGTGCTGCTTGGTAACCTCTCGGTCGAATCATGACGGTCGAATCATGACCGTCGAATCATGTCTAAAAATCAGGGTGTATACACAGCACTGAAATCAGCTGTAAAGTAACTTTCAGATTGTGTGCTTTGATTCCTGTAGGGATGTAGGATATTCAAGGTAAAATACTGTGCTGCTTGGTAACCTCTCGGTCGAATCATGACGGTCGAATCATGACCGTCGAATCATGTCTAAAAATCAGGGTGTATACACAGCACTGAAATCAGCTGTAAGCTTTCGAATTCCCGAGGTGGTCGCTTACGAAAGCTTCGACTGTATACAAATAGCGTGATGTGCAAAGTTGTTTGTCTTCCGCGTTTGCAATTCTCGTTGCCGTCACTGTCGCCGCCGACGTTGCTTAAGTATGAATAAGCCCATGCAATGCACTCTTTGTGTATGCAAGAAGAAACTTGAGGGTCTTACCAAGCCTTCCCCAATATTTTTCAGAGATGTAATCCTCACATAAAGCGTTCTCGAATGCCAGATAAAACTTAAACGTTTTCAGGCAAGCAGTTTGATTTCCACAACCTCTCTGTTGCCCAAATTTTCCTGAACACCTTCCAAATACATCAACCTTGATGTATTTTTTCAGGTTTTGGACAAATGCCATTCGAGGTTGAGCGCCACAATTACCAACCATCCAAGCCACAAGTTCAGTTTTTCCTTGGGAATAGTCCGGTATGTTTCTTACTTTATTCAATTTTTCTTCTTCAGTCAGTTCCTCGTAACTTCCATATGGCGACCAGAAGTCTGAATCGCTTCTGTAAGTCCACGTTGAGTTAAACAGCCCGTTTAATGGATCAGGATTTGGTGTTGCATTTGGACTTTCCCACAAAGCATATACCCAGCGCTGTGAAGTGGACCTGTTTTTCAGCAGCGTTCTTAGATGATCTACACTTGGCATGTTTCTAGCGTGAAACACGACTAAGTCGCTTTCCTCAAGCCGTTGTTTGTCGTAGGTCAATTCGAAATCACCTGAGAGACATTTATTTGCGGCAAATAAAAACTTGTTTTCAAATCCACAATCACGATCGCTTATCCACTTTGCCGTCCCGAAAAAAACAGTGTAGATGAGTAAAAGCGTCTTTGTCCTTTCTCGTTGCATGAGTTGTGAGTTGTTACTTCCAAGCAAATGTGTGTTGTTTACTTGCAAGGACGATTTCATTGTTTGCTTTGAAAACTTACCTAGTAAGAAGTCGTCAAAAGTTAGCACGGCAAGAAGAAAAATACTGAGTCCAGAGGAGCATAAGAAAAAATATTTTGACCATCTTGTCGCCATTTTAAACGATAACGAAGAAAAATATGGCGATACTGGGCACAGTTGCATATGCAAAACAGCAGGGAACTTTCACGCATGGTTAACCTGAGATCAGGCTCTATTTTCGTTTCGCTTTGCAAATTACATTCCGGCTGGCAAGGCGAAACGAAAATAGAACCTGATACAAACCTTTAACGAAATGTGTGCAGCCCACTTTTTTGATTGATTGACATTTGCCGAATCAGCCAATCAGAATTACTTCCGTTACTTGTTTTTTTTAGTATGCAAATTTTTCACGCGTGGGAAAAATGCAGACTGGCTGACTTAAAAAATAGCTTTTATCTGTTAATCAAAATGCACCTTGTGATACACTCACTTTCCGTAAATAAAGCAAATCCTGAGAAGAAATGAACAATGAAACGAGGGAGTTGGCCTTGGAACGTGATTTTGATATTTTAACCATCTCGGAGACTTGGTTTAACTCTTCCGTGTCTAACAGTGTTGTCGAAATTCCGGGATACAAGGTCTATACACGCTTTTAATAATTCGGGGCGCCATCTTGAATTTTTAATTTATGACGTCAATCGCGGAAAGATTTCAGCCGCCATCATTGAGTTGTGACTCGTGAGATCTCATCATGTCAGGAAGAGAGACCCAGACAGGTCAGTCTGAATCGCTTTATTCCATTTTTTTTCGTACAAACATTAACTACTGCTTTCACATCTTTTTCCTAGGCTCTAATAATCGTAATTGTGCGGTTCCTCTCTGCAAGTCCTACGGGGTAATATTTGATAACAAGCGCAACAGAAATGTGACTTACCATAAGATACCAAGCGATTTAAATGTAAAGCAAGCATGGCTGCAGCGTATTAGAAGGGGGGAAAACTCAACTTTTAAGGTGTGGAACTAATTTTTTTCTGTGATTGTGAGTTCGAATTCGTACTGCTTCACCGATCTCTTACATATCGCTTTTTCTCTAGGTGCAGAAGCATACAGTCGTCTGCTCCCTTCATTTTACGGATGAGGACTTAGAGTATTCTAGTTTTAGTTGTAGGTGGTTTGTGAAAACTGGCAGACTTCCCTCTGTATTCGAATGCTGGGAGCACAAGCCATACCTAATCCCTAAGGTTCAGAATAAGAGGAAGCTGAACAAGAATCAGATTCGATCGAGTGAAACCAGTTGTAAACATCAAAGAGGTGATCCTAGTCGTACTAGAAACGAGATTGAATCGGCTGAAGTGTTTATTGAGTCAAGTGATACTTCTGAGGAGAAAAACTTTCACAAAACCGACGAAGAAATATCTGAGCTAAAAGCTGAAGTTGTAACACTAAGGGAGCAGGTAAAAACAGCTAACAACAAGATCAAACAGCTTGAGGAAACATTAAGTGGAATGGAATTCTGTATTGAGAATATTGAAGACAAAGATATCTGTTTTTATACTGGATTTCCTAATCGTGAAGTCTACAATGCGGTGTTAACTTATCTTAACCCAGGTCCCAATGGTGAAAATTTAGTGTACACTCGAACTGATTCAAGACCTGACATAGAGTCTACACCCCTGCAAAAACGTGGACGGCCCAGAAAACTATCTCCTTCCAATCAGTTCTTTTTATTCCTTTGTAGGGTTAGGGTTGGGCTCTTTGAATGTGATCTTGCATTTAGGTTTAACATTTCTATTGGGACCTTAAGTAACATTGTTATTTCTTGGGTTAACTTTCTATATCTAAGACTTGGATCATTAAGCATCTGGCCAAGTAAAGAAACAATATTAGCAACAATGCCAGATTCATTCAAAGCAAAGTACAAAGACACTAGGGTCATCATTGACTGTACCGAAATAAAAGTAGAAATGCCTTCTTCGCTGGTCCTAAAATCTCAAACGTACTCAAACTACAAAAGTGCCAATACATTAAAAGGGCTAGTTGGCATTTCTCCAAGTGGATCCATAACATTTATATCTCAGCTGTACACTGGCTCAATATCAGACAGGGAAATTACTGAACGCTGTGGTATTCTTAAAATGCCATTTCAAGCAGGCGACAGTTTAATGACAGATAAAGGATTCGACATCCAGGACTTGCTAGATCCAATCAGTGTCAAGTTAAATATGCCTCCTTTTTTGCACATGCAAGACCAAATGCCTGTTCAAGATGTTCTAGAGACACAGCAAATAGCTGCCGAGAGAATACATGTTGAAAGGGCCATTAATAAGATTAAAAACTTTCATCTATTTGATCAAGTTATTCCATTATCTCTGGCTGGCTCTATCAACCAGTTATGGACTGTATGTGGATTGCTGACTCTTTTTCAAAAACCGATCATTTCATGACAGTAGATTTGTAGTTGTTCTGGTATCTCTTGAGTAATTATCAGTGTCATGTTTGCCTTATGTTACAGATTCAAATGTAGCTGAGTGTTCCAATCGCCCTATCAAAGTCTGAGCTACTAAATAAAATAAACTTACTTAGGAGCCTTCTAGATGGAATGCTTGTATGTCAACATTTTATTCAACAGGTGATGTTTAAGATACCTTTTTCATACAAAGTATATCCATTACAACATTAAAACTGATAATATAGAACAGTTTAATAAAGAGTTAGTGTCATGGGGAAACTTTTAAGAGTGGTGTCCCTTGGTTCTCTAAACCTTAGACTTAAACCTTCATGGCCTCTGGCATTACATGCTGCTGATAAAAGTTTGTTAGTTTAGTAATCATTGACTTCCAAAATGGCTCATCAAACTTTATTCGCTGTACAATAAGGCCTTTCTGAAAAAATACTACAAAATCACACCACTTTAATCCTGCCAAACTCATCTGGCCTTGTACTTGATAGTAATAAGGGTGATCCTTTTTAAGCTCAGGCTTACCATTAACTAGTTGGCAATAAAAACTTGGGTCAGCACATGCCTCCTCAGGTGTCAGGTGTCTTAATGAATAGGGGCATTTGATTTCTACCAAACCAAAACCAAATATTTTATCTATCACCTTTCTGTCTGGTGAAGCAGCCAACCATGGCATTGTGCTGGATACGACAAGACCGCACTCTAAGACCTGAACGTCATGTCCAATACCTGTCATGTATTCAGCATACTTATTTGCTGCTTTAGCCTCGTTTGAAATCCCGTACCTTATAGAAGGCACATTGGAAAGATCCTTTGGTGACAGCAAATTTTTTGAACAAACTTTGTTTGAGATATGTTAAGTTTTCGGTTGCAAACAAGTCCAAAATTGCTACTAGTTAACCTTAGTCTTCTACTTTGAAACCACAAAGGGTTGTTGCTTTGACCTCTAGTTTCTCGTTCAATCAAAGATGGATTAGGGACATTCAAATGACTAATAAACCGGTCCTCCTGATAAGAAAGGGGCATTTGCAATCCCACTCCAGCTGGTACATTAGTTTCAATGGGGAGGTCAGGAAAGTAGTCACCAACAGCTCTGGGTCTTTGCAAGACTGGAAAATTTGTTAAAACATTGAAGTTTGCTTCTGTTAGGGAGAGCTGGTAGCTTAAAACACTACCACATGGAACCATGTGTCCATTTAATTTAGTTGGAATCGTTGCAGGTTTTTGTTCAAACACAGTACAGAATCCTAAAGAAGGATTAATGCTTTTCAGTGAATCAAATAAATTATTTGCCCCTCGTTATTTTGGACCATTGGTTGTCTGGCTTCATAAAAAGTACACTTTAAACCCTCTGAGCTCTTGTCCCTGTATTTAGGATTGATCACATTATATCCCATAATAGGTTCAGGGTTTATACCCTGGGTTCTTGGTTTATGCCACTGTTGGGGTTGTCTGTGCATGTTCCAATTCTTGGGAATTCAGGGGGCCTTTAATTTAATGACATGATCAATCAGATATAATAAACCCATGGTGTGATTACAATACCCATTTGCACCTGCTGGACATGAACACTTAGCCCTCTTAACATCTCCAGTAGTTAACAGTATCAGAGTAACATTATGAGGCCTTTCATTTTTCTTTTGTGATCTAAAGCACTTCCCTTTTACATGGATTTCATTTTCTTCAAGCTTACATAAAACATCGTGACAATAATTTTCATAGAAAAACTTGTACCCCTTTTCGAGGGGCTTTTCAACATAGCTTTTTGCTTCTCTTCCGGATTTTTTGGCATGTTCAACAATATTAAGGTAAGAAAAACGCTTTGGAAGAACTGAGGTATCAGTACTCCAGCTCTCTTCAACGTCTACATCTGTATCTGTAACCAGTGCTTCGGGCTCTTGGCTTTCTGGATTTCTAAGCTGCTCCTCCCAGAACAAAATCTGCATCTTGCTTTTTTTTTTTGCTCGTGTGTATGCTTTCCCGGGATCAGGGTCGATCAGAATAAAATCTTTATCCAAGTTCTGTCTTACCCTAAAAGCGATACATAAATACTTAAACGCTAATGATCGAAAACAGAAACATTCAATGGAGATAGTATTATAGTACATTTTGAAAGGTAATCGGTGCAAACAAACTTACAAACCTTCAAGAGAGGTCACGTCGGTAATAAGCTTAATTATCGCATTAATGTTATCGTTTTCGTTTGACAAAAACGCCGCATAAACAATCAAAACTAAAAACAAGTTGGTCTATAATAAACGTTTACCTTGAAAGAAGTTCAGCTCTTGTTTCTGTTGACTTATAACGTAAGCCACGGCAGTTAAGCCAGAACTTTAATTCGCTTTTTTTGCATTTTTCTAAATCGGCCCTCGATATCAT